CCGGGGGGGGGCGGGGGGGGGCCCCGGGCCCCCCGCCGCTCCAGTCCTCCGGGGCGAGAAAATCCCCGTTTGTATCTGCGGATCCGACATAAGTCGGATCCGCGTAAGTCGGGGACTGCCTGTACTATGTTGATCTTAAGGTTGTAGATCCTTGACTGGCAGTGTTATTTCAGTTTCACTTTTCCCCAAATATTTTTTAAAAATTTTTCAGCACTAATGGCTGTAATTCACTGCTATCCAGAGGAGCAGCCCATTCAGCACAGCAAGTCTACTTACACCTTAGTTGAAAACTGTTTGGTTAGGGCTCATATTACCCTATGTCACCCCTCAGTGTGGCCGTAACCCCTTAGGGCACGGGTCGGCAACCTTTCAGAAGTGGTGTGCCCAGTGTTAAATTACTCACTTGTTTACGGATCTGCATGGCCCCAGACTGAGTCCATGTGAGTGCCATGCCCTGAAGGGCCCTGAGTCCCCATCTACGTCCTACGTGTGCAGGGTCCTCAGCCCCAGTGCCGCCTCCTCCCACTACCGCTGGGTGCGGCGCAGCCTAACCTGCTGCCAGGGAAGGGGGCTGCTGCTCACGCACCATGAGAGCCCGCCCCGCCCAACCTGGCCCCGCGCAGCCCAATTCGCAGCCTGCCCCACAGGAGCAACCGAGGTGGACGCCTAGCAACGGGCGGGATTTTTCTATGGAGGGGAGTGGGGCGGTGCTCCTCCATGTGTAGCTCTGCAGCCCATGTCAGGGGGTGCTGAGTTTGCTTTCTTCGCCTCCGCGTCTGCCCCCCAGAGCTGGTGCTGCAGCCTCAATATCATCTTGCGTGCCACTTATGGCACGTGGGCCGTACGTTGTTGACCCCTGCCTAAGGGCATAAATATAGAGCGTTATGTGTGCAGGTTGTACCTCCTTTACCCAGGACTCTCTGGTCCGGCAACATCCATGGTCCTGCACGAACACAAAGGCCAGGAACAGGGAGGTCTGGCGGAGGGGCAGCATGGTAGGGGGGACCGGTGACTCAGCTGGGAGCCCAGTGTTGGTGGGAGGCGGCATAGTGGGAAGTTCTAGCCCCAGTAGCCGGGGAGCTTTCTCGGCAGCCCCTGCTGGGGCCGTGGAACCCTGGCCATGGAGGCGAGCGACTGTGGAGCTCTGGCCCCTGCTGCAGAACTCCAGCTGTGCTGCTTCAGCCCTGGCCACAGCGGGGCTGGCAGCAGCTAGAAAGCCCCGAGGAGCAGCAGGAGCAGCAGCAGAGCCAGGGTGCCCTAGTCTGGTGTCAGCAGGGCAGCATGAGCCATGAGGAGAGGGAGCTCCCTGGTCCAGCAAATCAAGATAAGAACATAAGAACAGCCACAAGGACCATCTAGCCCAGTATCCTGTCTGCCGACAGTGGCCAATAACGGTTAGGTCCCCAGGGTGCCAGACAAGGGAGGTCCAACCTGTACTGATTTTTTTTTTCAGTTTGCTAACTGAACAGAACAATGTAAAATATTCATTTCAGGTTGACTGGAAATTGTTGTTGATCTTTTTCAGAGAACGGAAAAAGTCAAAACACTTGCATTTAAAAAAATGTTAATGGTTTTATTAAAAGTAACATTGAGAGAAATGCCAAAATGAGACATTTTTCCAAAACTAAAAGTCAAAATGCTTTGTTTCAGAAATTCCATAATAAATTGTCTGGATATTTTTGACTTTCTTTTGACTGGAACAGGTAGCCAAAATTGATCTGAATTTGTGAATTGTGTTGGTCAACACAAATCTGCATTTTTTTTATGGGGGAAAAAGGGTTGCCATTTCTACTTATCTGGGTCCTATCCTCTGTATAGCAGTGAAGCGCGAGCTTACAAGATTTCTTTTCACACCAGGTTTTGATGGCATCTTACTTTTAATTTTCTTTGTTCTATTCTTATCATTTATGATAGGCACTGCAGGAAAACTTATTCCTGGGTTTCTTTCTCAGTTTGTCAATATGGACAAGTCTTAGGCTCGTCAAATTTTACCTAGGTTGTTTATGAATTTTTTACAATATCACATATCTTGTGCTTTCTCCTAAAGGATAATATTGAGCTATCACACACAGGCACACCAGTGTCCAAAGGACAAGAAAGTGTGGGATCCAGTTTGATATTTTCAAGCAGTTGGCGGTCTGGGTTCAAGGACAAGCTGGGGAAAGATTTATTTTATGCCACAATAGGCCTTTACCAGGTATGACTACAAAGGCAGATTAGATGAGCTTCATGGCAGAGTACGTTCTGCTCTGTTTTGTTAACTGTGTCCCTTTGGTTTCCTTTATGTGGCTTGACTGCTCTGTACAGGTGACTAGGGCACAACCGGGCCAAAAGAATAAAAGCTACAGTAGTTCTCAGCATTCACAGGTAGGACTGTGAAACCAATGGAGCTAATTGACTAAAGTTGCTGATAAATGTTCAGCTTTGCTTTGCCAAAAATGGCAGATTGGAGAAAAGTCCCATATGAAATTCTGACACAGAGGGAGTCCATTTTTGGATAGTATAACTGGTCTTCCAAAAGCATGAAACATCTTCTGAGTCTTAATCTGTTGTCTATGTAAGATAGTCTCTGTGCTATGAAGCATTACAGTTCATGGCATTTCCAGCATGAATACACTGCTTCCTTGGCATAAAGTCATTCTGAAAACGTATGCCATACTGATTTAACTCCAGTGGGCAGCATGTTATGCAAGAGAGCCTCAACTAAAACTACTTCTGGATGGACCACGGGTATCTCCTGGGCACCCTGCAGGCCTTCGGCTTCGGGCCCCGGTTTGTGGGTTTTCTCCGGGTGTTGTACGCCCTCGCGGAGTGTCTGGTCAGGCTCAACTGGACCCTGACCGAGCCGGTCAGCTTCGGGCGGGGGGGGCGTCAGGGGTGTCCGCTGTCGGGCCAGCTGTACGCTCTGGCGATCGAGCCCTTCCTCTGTCTCCTCCGTAGGAGGTTGATGGGGTTGGTGCTTCGGGAGCCGGAGCTGCGGCTGGTCCTGTCGGCGTACGCCGATGACGTGCTCCTCGTGGTCCAGGACCCGGGCGACCTGGCGCGGGTGGAGGCTTGCCAAGCCGTCTACTCGGCAGCCTCCTCCGCCCCGGGCAACTGGGGCAAGAGCTCTGGCCTGGGGGGCGTCCTTCGCCGCCGGAAAACTGGCAAGGTTTGGAGGCCAGGGTGGGTGAGCGGCTGCGGAGATGGACAGGACTGCTCCGGTGCCTCTCCCTTCGTGGGAGGGCGCTGGTGCTCAATCAGCTGGTCCTGTCCATGCTCTGGCACCGGCTCAACACCCTGCGCCCGCACCCGGAGGTCCCGGCCAAGCTCCAGAGGGCAGCTTTGGGGTTCCTTTGGCCGGGACTGCACTGGGTCTCTGCAGGGGTCTTGTCCCTCCCCCTGGAGGAGGGGGGCCAGGGCCTGGTCTGCGTGCGCAGCCAGGTCCGGACCTTCCGCCTCCAGGCCCTGCAGAGACTCCTCTTTAGTGCAGGTAGTCCGGCATGGAGCATTTTGGGGCACGCCTTCCTCCGCCGCCTCCGAGGGCTCCGATACGACCGGCAGCTCTTTTTTATCCACCCGAGGGGTCTTCCGCGAGACCTCTCAGAACTGCCGGAATTCTACCAGGACCTCCTCCAGACCTGGAAGCTCTTCTCGGCGACCAGGTCCGTTGTGGCCTCCGAGGGAGCAGACCTCCTCGCGGAGCCCCTGCTCCACAATCCAGCCTTGTGCGTGCAGGTGGCGGAGTCTCCCTCGGTGCGCCGGAGGCTGATCCTGGCAGAAACCACCATGGTCGGGGACCTCCTGGACTACGACAGGGGGGACTGGGTGGATCCCCGAGCGCTCGCTCAACGCATGGGGCTCTCCACCCTTCGAACCCCCCTGCGCCTACTCCAGGAGGTGAAGGCGGCTTTGTCGCAGCCCGCTCGCGATCTCCTACAGAGAGCCCTGCGAGAGGGAACGCTCCGCCCCTCCCCTCCTGCAAAGCCTCCGTCCCTCTTTATTGGGCCCCTGTCCCGCGGGCCCCCCCGGCCTCCCCACCCTTGGACCCCCAGCCGGCTGCAAAATCTGCAGCCGGTCTGTTTCCGGACCGCGCCCAGGGAACAGCTGTACACGCTCGTGCTCCACGCTTTGCATTTCCCCACCCTCGTGTCCCGCCCCGATACAAAGTGGCGGGACTACCTCAGACCCATAGAGGGTGGGGAACCCCGATGGGCCAGCGTTTATTCGACCTTAATTCCGCGGCCCGTCGGGGACATCAGTTGGCGGCTCCTCCACGGAGCCGTGAGCACGGGCGTGTACTTGGCGCGGTTCACCCCTATCCCAGACACCTGCCCCTTTTGTGGCGTGAGGGAGAACCTGGCGCACGCCTACCTTGAATGCGCCAGGTTGCAGCCCCTATTCCGGCTCCTCCAGAACCTCTTATTGAGGTTCTGGCTGCACTTTTCCCCTCACCTTTTTATTTATGCACACCCAATCCGTGGCCCCACAAAGTCGCGAGACCTCCTCGTCAACCTCCTCCTGGCCTTGGCGAAAGTTGCCATCTACAACAGCAGGAGGAGGATGCTAGACGAGGGGGTTCTCTGCGACTGTGGGGCCTATTTCCGCTCCTCCCTCGTGTCACGAATCCGGGCAGAGTTCCTCTGGGCGGCGTCCACTGGCTCCATCGACAGCTTTGAGGAGCAGTGGGCGCTGTCCGGGGTTCTCTGCTCGGTGTCCCCATCCGGCTCCCTTATTTTGAACCTCTAGCCCGCACTTCCTGATCCTTTAGTCATTATTTGTCCCAAGAAATCAATTGAACATGGGTCCAGTGTCCCTCCCATAAGGTTGGGGAGGGGCTTTTAGAAGGTGGCTCCGCCCGCCCACCATCCCATGATTTCAAATAGGTCTGTGACAGCCATTGGTAGTTCGATTGTTAGCCCAAGATCGTTAGCTTGCTATCATGCTTTGTTACAGCCGTCTGGTTTCCCAATTTAAATTTGGCATTTTTCCCTTCAGAGCCCCTAAACATTAATTTAAAATGCAATTTCAAACTTGTCTGTCATTGGACAAGTCAGGAATCCAATACCTTGCATAGTGGGGCTCCTATTAGTCATCTTTTATGGCTGCATGTCTGTACTGGGAAGGATCCTGTCATATAACACATTGCAGTTTTAAACTTCCAAGCACATGCTATGGTTTCCCATGGCTGCCTTTGTGACCTTTCCAAACATATTCTGAACCTTTGCTGATCTACACTAGGGCTTTATTTCAAAATAACCTCCCTGAGGCTAATTTAATAAGTGGAGAGTCCACACTGCCAAGCCCATTATTTTGAAATAACAGGCTGCTTATTTTGAAATCTGTACTCCTGCTTTTCTCAGGGAATAACGCTAATTTAGAAATAGTTATTTTGAAATAGCGGTAGTATGGATGCTCCACTGCTGCTATTTCGAAATAACGACTCCCCAGAGTCATTCAAACTAACCACTCCCCGGTGCTTCCTGGGGCTCAAAGTTGAGGTAGCGTGTCCACATTAACAGAGCCTGCCTTGGAATAATTTGGAGGCTTCCCTGTAGTGAGGACATGCTATTTCAATTGTTGTTATTTCGGGAATTACTAAATCGATTTTAGTTGTTTTGAAATCGTTTCCTAGTGTAGGCGTGACCGTTCTGTGTTAAAGTATGGTATGTTGCATTCCACCTTTCTGAATCTTTGTTTTAGGGAGCTCTGGTGGCACTCAGATACATTGAGAACCAAACAGATGCCTGGATATGGAAACAGTCAGTCCTTCGTGAAATTCAGATGGTAAGGTTCAACCTCAACCCGATCCTCACAGGCCAGACTGAAATGAAGTGCAAACATATTGTAAATGCTGCTCCATCAGGCAGTGGATCCCCCTGTCCTTCGCAAGTTGAAATTCACATTCAGAGCCTACAATATTTGGGTGGTGGTGAATTTGGAAGACGACTGGAGTCTACTTAGACTTCATTGCTGTCTTGCATTTTGGATTGGGGCACCACTATATCAGAAAGGAATTGACAAGCTGCAGAAGAAGAGCAACAACAAATAGGACTCAACTGAGCGGCAGAAGGGACTGACCTTTTTAGGAGAGATTCTGGGCCAGATCGTGAAACCCTTTCTCGTGTGGCGGGGTAATTGCACTCCAAAAGGATCATCTGAGGCCAAACTGGCCTGGGGAATAGAAAATACATTGTAGAGACATTCCTGAATGAGACAGGTTTGGGCAAGGATGAGCTAATGGCTTTTTAATTTCGAACTTGTAGGGTTGTTGTAATTAATAATGACTAATTGAATACCTCAGGGGTGGTTTTGTCATGTAAACAAACTCATTTAACAAGGCCTCATTTCCTTTCAGATGCGCGAGTTGAGGCATGAGAATCTGGTGACCTTCTTTGGCGTGTGCACGGATGTTCCAAATATCTGTATTATTACAGAGTACTGCAAGAAAGGAAGCCTAAAGGTGAGAACACCAGCAGCATTTATGTCAACAGCCCTTAAAGTCAACTTATAACAGAGCTTGCCAAGGAGATGTGCTGAGCTCCACTCAGACCAGCAGGGACTGATTTCTCCCCACTCCCGTTTTGTTTGTCAGCTGCTTTTGTTTCCTACTCTTGCTCTGTTGATATCAGGAGCTTCCTGGAATCCAATTGCTAGGATTTCAGTGCACATGTCACTTCCTATTGCTATGAGTCTTCATTGGTTTAGTGTTCGGATCTTATGTGCAGCCATTTTGTGAATACTAAATATGGGAAGCAGACTAGCCCAAAACAGAGACACTGCACCACAAAGGCAATGAGAAGTAGGACATCCTATTTACTAAGAAACATTTTATTCACACAGAGTATTGTTCAACATGTGCTACAGGATTCACATGCAAATATTGAATCAGGTTTGTTATTGCCACTTGCCCCCTAGTGATATGTACAGAATTTTTTCAGGAACTGCTGATTTGGAGACCGATATACCTGTATTGGGAAATCAACTTTCTGTTTCCAGTAAATGTCCACAGAGCAAATAGAGTTCAGTTCCAAGCGCTCACTGATTCTCAATCTGATGAGAGTCAGTCCCGTGTCATTTTGATTGTTTTTGTTTTTCAGGACATTTTGAGGAACTCTGATATTGAATTGGACTGGATATTCAAACTTTCTTTTGCCTATGATATAGTCAATGTGAGTATGACATTGAACTGGTTTCTGATGGATACCCTTATTTTAAAAGTAGCAGAGAGGCAGCCGTGTTAGTCTAATCTTGGTCAAACAAACAAACAAACAAACAAACAAACAAACAAACAAACAAACAAACAAACAAACAAACAAACAAACAAACAAACAAACAAACAAACAAACAAACAAACAAACAAACAAACAAACAAGCAAGCAAGCAAGCAAGCAAGCAGTCATGTAGCACTTTAAAGACTAACATTCACTTTCAGTCCTTTGGGTATGATGTCCAGCTTTTTGCACTTGGATACATGACTGCTTTTTTTCCCTTATTTAAAAAGTGGTGGATTCCAGAAATGCTTATTGCACTAGGCTTTGACCATTTCCGAGATGTCCATCAGAACAATATAGTAGCCAGCCAGAGCTGGATGGGAGGGCTGGGAGTGCCTTTGAGAGGGGGATGAGGATGATATCATTATAACTTACTCTAATTTTATTGTGTATATATTTCATTAAGCTGGAGTTCTGTTGCAGTGACCACTGCTTACATCATCAAACAACCCCCCCTCCGCCCCGCCAATTAAGCGTTTGTTACAGATACAAAAAAGGGGGGGCAGGAGTTTAAAGCGTAAAAAGTTCTAAAGTTTTGAGAAAATGGCTCGACATGGTAAGTTCTTCAGGTCTGGCCTTGCCATTCACTGCATACTACACTAGGCACAAAGGAAGCCTAACCTAGGTGGAGAGATGGGTCAATGTTACCATCTCTAGACCAGAGGTGGGTAAACTTTTTGGCCTGATGGCCTCGTTGGGTATGGAAATTGTATGCAGGGCTGGGTAGGGAAGGCTGGGGGAGGCTGTGCCTCTCCAAACAGCCAGGTGTGGCTCCGTTGTCGCCCCTTATCCAACCTCCCTCCCCTTGATCCCCTGGGATCCCTGTCCCTAACCAATCCCCCTGTTCCTTGCCTCCCAACCACGCCACCTGGAGCATCAAGGCTGCAGCAGCACCGTCCAGCCAGAGCTGCAATCATGCCATCTGGAGCATCAGGGCTGGTGGGGCAGTGACCGCACTGCCTAGGCACTGGGGGAGCTTAAGCTGCAGAGGAGGTGGGTAGAAGGGGGTGGGGGGGCTAGCTGCCCATGCTCACCAAGCTGCTCAGGAATTGGTCTGGTTCCTCTCAGCAAGGCTGTTCCGACCCCACTCCCCGTTGGGAGCTCAGGGACCAAGCTGAGGGGTCCGACAGGCTGGATTTGACCTGCTGGCTGTAGTTTGTCCTCCCCCTACCCCCCGTTCTAGACAGTACTGCAATACGAACAAGAGGAATAACAATAACGTGTTTCTCTTTTCATTTCTAGAGTTGTTCTATATTTTCCAAAAGCAAAAATCCTTGCTTGAAAACTAGTAGACGCTGCTAAAGGGAGGGAGGGGCAAGAGATAATGATGGGTGGCAGCTCTTACCATTCTGATTTTGTTAAAGCCCGATTCTGGTTTGTGTGTGTTGTGTAGAGTGGAAGAACGACTTCTCGTGTCTTGCTCAAAACACTGCTGTGAATGCATCCCAGAATCACGTTTGCCTTTTTTGCAACAGTGTCACACTGATGACTCATGGTTAGCTTGTGGCCCACTATGACCCCTAGATCCCTTTCTGCAGTTCTCCATACTAGACCGTCGCTTCCCATATGTGCAATTGAATGTTCCTTCCTAAGTGAGGTCCTTTGCATTTGCCCTTATTAAACGTCATCCTATTTACCTCAGTCCATTTCTCTAGTTTGTCCAGACCATTTTGAATTATGACCCTATCCTCCAAAGGAGAAAGGGGGAAAGATTACCAGATGAAACAAAAGGTTGTTTCCGATCCTGGTATTTGTTGGTCAGTTATTTGAAGAGCCCTAGTGTATGACCTGTGACTCAATTAGGGCAGGTCTACACTAGGAGGGAAGGTCGAATCAAGATACACAACTCCAGCTGCATTCATTATGATTTTTCCCACTGTTCCCACTTGCAGAAGCAGGAGTACCGGTGACTACAGTGGTACCCTGTGAATTCAATGTAGTGAGTTTTAACTAGACTTGCTCAATCAAACTCCGGAAGATTGATCACGGCTGTGTCGATCTTCCATTTAGTGAGGACATGGCCTTAACCACTTTTGTATTCTGGCTTTATTCACCCAGCTTTTCATAGATTTAGCTACTTTACTTTGTCCAGTTTGTGGAAGTGAAGGGCCCGTTTCCTTGCGCAGCTGCTCATCGTCCCAAGGAGAGCAGGAAGGTGTATGGCCATGCTGCCACAGCCAAAGGCATAAGATGCTTTCAAAAGTGATTTAGGCACTCAAGGACTTCCAATGGGATTTGCCTACATCCCTTCTGAATACAAGACAGGCTCCTAAATCAGTTAGACATTGTGATATTGAGTGCCACAATGCCTAAATATCTGTAAAAATCTTGGCCTAAGTCTGGTTCTCAGTGCCCAATCCCTATAGGAGGATTGTACTCCCTTACCTCACAAGGATGTTGTCAGGATACGCATGATAATGAAGGTGAGGTGCTCACATACTTTTATGATGGGGAATGTCACAGTTCAGAGCAACCGCTCTGAGTGTATTTCTCTGCTATAATCCAGCACTGTCAGGCTTCCAGGTCCCCTGACCATCACCTTTTTTGGGCGAAGAGGTGTCTTTCTCTCTCCTGATTAGGGTATTTCCAGGCTGAGGTCCCATGACTGCCCTCCGTCATTCCCAGCAGAGACAGACTGCCTGAGCAGGCCTGCTTGTTTTGTCTTCAGAGATGGTTACTCAGGCTGGCTGTGTCTACACTGGGCCACTTATTCCAGAAAATCAGCCGCTTTTCCGGAATAAGCTGCGAGCTGTCTACACCGGCCCTTGAATTTCCGGAAAAGCAATGATGCTCTACTGTACAAAATCAGCCACTATTCCGGAAAAACTATTCTGCTCCCGCTCGGGCATAAGTCCTTATTCCGGAACACTGTTCCAGAAAAGGGCCAGTATAGACTGCCCAGTAGTCTTTTCCAGGAAAAAGCCCCGATTGCGAAATTGGCGATCGGGGCTCTTTTCCAGAAAAGCGTGTCTACATTGGCCACAGATGCTTTTCCGGAAAAAGGGCTTTTCCAGAAAAGCAGCCTGCCAATGTAGATGCTCCTTTTCCGGAAAAACTGAAAACGGAATAGTTATTCCGTTTTAAGCAGTTCCGGAAATTCATGCCAGTGTAGACACAGCCGCTATGTCTAGACGGCAGGTTTCTTTCAGAAGAAGCTTTTCTGGAAGAGATCTTCTGGAAAAACAACTTCTGAAAGAGAGCTTCCACACAGCAAAAGTATCAGCATGGTAGCCAAGTTTGTTGCATCTAAAAAAATGGGTCTTTGCCTACGGAAGCTTATGCTCCAATAAATCTGTTAGTCTATAAAGTGCCACACAGCAAAAGTGCATTGAACAAGTGATCTGCTTTTTTGAAAGATAGTGTCCACACTGAATGGACGCTATCTCACATTTCAGCTGTGATGACTATGGACGGAGTGGCCACCGAGGCACCTGTGCTTTTTCCTCTTTCCTCTTCTTTTGAAAGAACTCCCTCTTCCCCATCCACACATGCCTTTTTCTGAAAGAGCTCTTTCGGAAAAAGGCTTCTTCCTTGGAGAAAGAGGTTTATCAATGTTGGAAAAACCCCTCTGTTCTTTTGATTTTTTTCCCCAAAAAGAACACAACTGCAGTGTGGACGTAAGTGAAGGGTTTTTTTGAAAAACGGCCGTGTTTCCGAAAAAAACTCTGCAGAGTAGACATACCCTTAGAGGGCTTGCATAAAATTCCACAATAGCACACTTGCATTTTTCATACGCTGCACCTCAAAGGTATCAAACAACCCCCCTGAAGATTTAAGGAAAATGTATTTTAATTCCATCAGATTGCTCAAGAGCGTTGCACGGGCCTGTCAATGGGGTTGCAAAGAGGGCAACTGCCTCAGGGTCATTCAAAAGGGCCAGCGGCTCCCAGCTGCTGCTACTACAGCAGCAGAGGCACCTGCATCCCTGGCCCCTTTAAATTGTCACCAGAGTTCCATGCAATACACTTCAGGTGGCTCTGAGGGCTGTCTGCTCCAGTCCCACCTCTTCTGCCCAAGGCTCCACCCCTTCTGGGAGCGTGGAGCCACCCCTTTCTCCCCCTGCCTTTCTCAGGGGCCTGACAAGGTTGTCGGCTCTTCTGGATTTGCTTGATACAGTGTGACGGCGCGTTGGGGGTCCCCCGTCTCCTGCACCCCAAAATGGCACAAACAGACTGCACCAGCCGGTGGAATAGAGGAAGTTTATTGCCTCTCCAGGATACAGCACAGCACAGATGTAATCTGGTCACAGAGCTGGGCTAGGATGCCTCAGGCCCCCTTGAGTTGGGGGGAGACTGGGCCCCTAAACTCCAGCCCCTCTCCCTAGGCTGTCTCCTCCATGCTCACAGACAGCAACTCACCAACACTCTTCCAGCCCTGCCCCCCAGCCAGGGCAGCATTCCACCTTCCTTTGTTCCTCTCCATGGGGGGTGTCTGGCCATACTGGTTTGCATAGTGACTCATCCTGTTTTGCTGGGTCGTGGTACCCACGGCAGCCAGTGGGGGTTACCCCAGAGCCAGCAGCATAGAAACCAGCCAGGTTCCCCCACTACGTCACAGCTTGATACGGTCAGTTTCTCACAAGGACTATGTAAGTACCCAAGGGATCTCGGTAGAGAGGTCAGAGATTCCAGGTGGGAAAAAGGAATTGTCCGTGTAGAAACAATGTCCGGGATCAGGGCCTAATGTAAGACCAGATGCCATGGGCGAATGCAACAACAAAACAAGGGGCTAGGGAAGGGAATGAGGACAGTGAGAGAAAAATGCAGCTACCCAGCAAAGTGTGGGTATAACTAAGCAGGTTTCTGGTTGGGTTTGACCAAAGCAGACTATTGCTGCAAATAGCTTAGACAATATAATGGGGGGGAAAATACTCGTATAGACCCAGTGAGATTTTGGGATGAAAGCCCTGATGTTTCTAACCAGAATTAGCTGAGCCAAGAGCTGGTTGCATTTGCCATTTGTTGCACTGACAGCCCAAACAGGATCCTGTCATCCTGCTGGTGCGGAGATAGCTGCCATTTTATAGTCATTCTGTTCCTATTTTTGCAGGGAATGTTGTTTCTTCACAGAAGCCCTTTGAACTCCCATGGAAATCTGAAACCTACAAACTGTTTGGTGGATAGTCGCATGCAAGTGAAGCTGTGTGGGTTTGGATTATGGGAATTTAAGTATGGAAAAAAATATCGAGTAATTACTGAGAAAAACACCAACTATGCAGGTAAGAGGATTGTGCAAGGATTACAAGCACAAAGGATGCACCAAAACACAAGGATGCATGGATTCCAGTAGAGGATGCTTTTACTAATAATTGTCTTCACACACATTTTATCTACAACTACCTCTTTGAATATTGGTGATTTCCACCCAGTTTTGGAAATTATAGAGAGTTTCTCTTTTTTAATTCCAGGGATATTGCATATCAGTGAGTGAATAGATCACAGCAGATACTTTTAACTGATCAGTTTTTGTCTTTCTTTTGTTCAATATTTGTCTCTGCATAGTTTATGATTTTCTTTAATTTATTTGTTGAAAATGTTTGCAAGATAATTTTGGTGATAATTCTTGGTTTGTAGCTGGGGTTGGATTAAGGCGTAAACTCTAGAAATATGTAGCAGTGTTGATAAATGCTTAGTAATGTACATTGGAAAACATAATCCCAACTACATCTATAAAATGATGGGGTCTAAATTAGCTATTAGTACTCAAGAAAGAGCTCTTGGAGTCATTGCGGATAATTCTGTGAAAACATCCACTCAATGTGCAGCAGCAGTCAAAAAAGCAAACAGAATGTTGGAATCACTAAGAAAGGGATAGAAAATAAGACAGAAAATATCATATTTGCCTCTACATAAATCCCTGGTATACTCACATCTTGAATACTGTGTGCAGATGTGATCACCTCTTTTCAAAAAAGATATATTGGAACTGGAAAAGGTTCAGAAAGGGGCAACAAAAATTACTAGAGATGTGGAACAGCTTCTGAGAGGAGAGATTAATAAAACTGGCACTTTTCAGATTAAAAAAGAGTTGACCAAAGGAGAATATGATGGAGGACTATAAAATAATGACTGGTGTGGAGAAAATAAATAAGGATGTATTATTTACTTCTCATAACACAAGAACTAGGGATCACCAAACAAAATAATAGAATGCTTAAAACAAATGAAATATTTTTTCCCTCAGTACCTAAGCAACCTGTGGAACTCCTTGCTAGAGGATGTGGTGAAGGCCAAGATTATAATAGGTTTAAAAAATGAGCTAGATAAATTCATGGATGATAGGTCCATCAATGGCTCTACCAGAAGCTTACCCTCTTCCAGAAGCTGGGAATGGACAGAGGATGGGTCACTTTATTACCAGAAGCACCTAGCATTGGCTACTGTTGGAAGACAGGATACTGGGCTAAATGGGTCTTTGGTCTGACCCAGTGTGGCTGTTCTTATGTGCTTATAGACCTGTGTCCAGAGCCCCAGTTTCTGGAATCATTTGATTACAGAAGAATTGCTGCCTTTATTTATTTCTAAAAAAGAGAAAAACCACAATTCTAACCTTTATTTTTGCACACAAAAAAAAGCAGCTTGAAAATGTGACTCAAGTGCAGTGATGCTGTGAAATTTGCCTGTGTCTGCAAATGGCTAAAATAATAACTGTGAGATAAATAACTTTGAGATGTTAGCAGCCTCATGCATCTGAACAGGATGCTAACTACAAGAGCCACAGCGGTGAGGAGTCATGCCAATACCATCTGTAAGGTGCTGGCTTCTCTCCAGCCCACCAAAGCCTCACTAACTCACTTTGAGTCTCTTTCTAGGCTGAGTTTTATTTCCCACATGTAGACAAACAAACCCCATAACAATTACTCAGCCCACTCTGGGCTACAGCTCGCTGGGGATTTCCCCCTTTGCTTTACTCACATAGTCCTGTCTTTTTTTTACCCCTGTATCACGTTCAGCATTTTAAAAGGTGGTACCCCTGCTTCAGAATCCGTTGCAAGATCTTGCTGTGCTCTTTCAACAGAGCACCACCTCCCAGGAAACCCTGCCATTCCCCACCCGGTGGGTTCCCACTGCCTTGCCTAGAGCTCTTGCAACTTCCTGCTGCTCCTGCACTATCCCCCACCCCCTTGCACCTGACAGCAGCCTGTTTATGGCTGAAGGCGCTGCCCTTTCCTTCTAACTGGACGAACTGGGAGTCCCTGTTCCAGGATAGGGGAACTAGACTTGCATCCTTATGCCTTCCAGTGATCCACCTCTGACAAAAGCCTCTATGTGTGGGCCTCCCAGTTGCTGAGCATGCACTTTGCTTTTACCCCTGCGACCCATCTGGTGTGGGGAGGGAGGGGTGCCCTTGCACTCCTCTAGCTACCTACCAGGGCGGCGGTGTTGTATGGGTGCATGAGCACCTGCAAGCAGCAGAGAGATCCTCAGCTGGATGACAAAAGCATAAACCATCCCGTATCACGTTCAGCATTTTAAAAGGTGGCCAAGCCTGTTCCTTGCCTGTGATGAGTTTGACCCAGCTAGAGCACAGACTTCCCTGCTGTTTCCTATTTTGCCTTGTAGATCTCTATTGGACAGCCCCAGAACTGCTCAGGATGGGGGAATTCCCATTCCATGGGACTCAAAAGGGGGACGTCTACAGTTTTGCTATAATTATGAGGGAGCTGATTTATAACAATGAGGATGGGCCGTTCCAAGACCTGAACAAGGAAGCAGAAGGTAGAGCTTTGTTCTTCACTTTGTACTATATTTCCAGGTGGGCTTCTCTCTGTGAGCACATTTTTGGAGTAACTTCATTTCGGACGCGTCTTTCCTGCAAATACAAGGTGACGTTTTTAAATTCAAATGACCTGTGACCAGTGTTAGCGAACTTGCAATTAAAATCTTCAGAGGGGTTGCCAAGTTAGTCTGGAACAGGAAAAAGTTAAAAAACAACAAATATTCTGGTAGCACTTTATAGACTAACAAAACATGTCGATGGTATCATGAGCTTTCATGGGCATAACCCACTTCTTCAGATGACTGGAAATAGCTAATTCAGTTAGCAGCTAGAGTTCAATCCCAGCTTTAACAAGAGCTGCCATATCTTTAATAATGAGGAGTTCTGTGGCACCTTAAAGACTGATGAAGTGGGTTTTACCCAAGAAAGCTCATGAGTCTATATATTTTTGTTAGTCCCTAAGGGCACATCTACACGGCAGCGTTATTTTGAAATAATGAGGTGAGAGTCTATACAGCAATATTCCATTCTGGAATATTAAACCCTTATTGAATGAGGAATAATGCCTATTTCAAAATAGGGTGTGTGTGTGTGTACAGTGCAGCTGTGATTATTTCGAAACAAATGGCCTCCAAGGATTCTCACAGTTGCCTTGGTAGCCACTCTGTCCACACCCCTCAGAACTCTATAGTTCCCCTTCCTGTGCATGCTCTAAAGGTGCAGTCACAGGAGAAAGGGTTTGTGGCACAAGGAAGGTCCTGACAGCCCTGCGCCACACACCAGCATCCTGTCACTGCTTTCCCTGATGCCATCTGTGACCCCTGAACTCCCACTGAGCCCTCCACAGCTGCAAGCGAGCCGGCAGCTAGCTCTGAAGCTTCTGCCCGGGGGCGGAAGAGGAGAGCCCCTTCCTAGTCTAGTGCGGAGATCCTGGATCTCATCGACAGGGCTCGACAATTAGGGCAATCTGCTCGCCCGTGGCAAGTAGATTTTAGCCCGGCATGGTGCTGCAGCGTGATCGGCGCATACACAGCGTGCCAAACCGCATGGCTGGCGAGCAGCGCTCGTCAAGCCCTGCTCATTGAGGTCTGGGGAGAGGAGGCTAACCTCCAAGTATCGCCACACCACATGCAGGAATTCAGATGTCTATGGCTGGATGGCCACTAGCCTGGGCCAGAAGGGCCACGTGCACCCAGGAGCAGGTGTGCATGAAAATGAAAAAACCTTAAGCAAGCCCACACGATGGCCAGGGAGCTGAATCCCCACTCTGGGGCAGCAACCAGTTATGCTTCTTTTATGAGCAGCTGCACCGCATCCTGAGAGGGGGATCGGTCCCTCTCCCCCCACTTGTCATGGACTCTGGCCTGGAGATATCCATTGTGAGCGTCCCAGAGGGCGGGGCTGTGGACGAGGAGGAGGAGGAGGAGATGGAGAAGAAGGAGGCCAGCACTGACATCATGACTGCCAGCCGGGAACTTATCCTGTCTCTGGAGTCGGTACCCCCCTTCCAGGATGTCTCCCAGGGTTCGGACAAAGCCGGGGAAGGCCTATGAGGTGAGTTCCATTACTTTCCCTAAATACATGGGTGGGCGATGAAGGGCTGCACACTCCTCGCATGGCCATCTCAGCCTGGGGAATTGCACAGCAGCCTGTGCACGTGGGTGCACGTGGAGCACCAGTCCAGATAGATAGCCGCATGAGGCTGCCACAAAGGAACCAGTCACTCTTTCTCACAGGGTTCCAGCACAGACCTGCTTTTCTTGCGATTCTGTGGTGGGCCACCTTCCCACCACAAGCCACCACTAAGGAGAAGGGGGTCAGGGAAACAGACAGAAGTACCGCGCATGGGCACACACCTGCACTCTCGGGACAGCATCTGCTCCCGGGCAAATGCAGCAAGGCGGAGGACAAAGCCCCTGCTTGGGAACCTGCTGGGAGGAAGGAAGAGAAGGGGACCCCAGGAGTACCCTCCCCAGCAAACAGTGTCTGCCATTCACACACACACGTCCCCCAGCACCCTCCCCGCCTCCTCCAGCAGGCAGAAGTCCTCTCCCTGTGGGAAGCTGCCATTGCCAGCCCTGGCATGTGCACAGCATAGAGGGAAGGTGAGCTACCCCATTACCCCACTCCTGCCTGGCGGGCACCTTCCCATGCCTGCTTGTCCCAGGATGTGGGAGCAATGAGGCTCCCTGGGACGTCCGTGACCCTGCAGGCCACAGGTGGCTTTGCTCAAAGCACATCGCCATCATCTGAACCGAGACCTTTCAGTGTCGGCTCAGAGATGAGGTCTGGGCTTCATGCACAGTATCTCCTGGGGTGACTGCCCTTCTCACTTTTCATCACAGCTGGACCAGCTGCGCGTGAGGCGGGTCCCCCACTTCCCGGGCCAGCCTCCCGATCTCACTACTGCAGACGACCCCAGGATGACCTGGAGGGGAAACACATCGCCTGCCTGTGCGCCCTGCAGCGATGTTTTGAGAGGCAGGAGCAGGGGTTGGCTGGTGGGAGCGGTCCCAACAGAACTGCAGCATCTGCACAGCATAAACCGCTGCCGCAAGTTCCCTCCCACTCCCGCTCCTGTCCCTGCCTCTGCCTCTCCAGCTTCTCCTCCTATCCCCACTGTGGCCACCAAGGGCCTTCCACCCGAGGTAGGCACCAGTCCCAGCTCCATCCCTGAGCCTCTCTTCCCTCCTCCCCCCCCTTCCCATATTATTTTCCCAGTCCCACCTCAGTTATATTTCCCCCAAATAAATATCACAGAGAGTTTCTTATTCCAAAGCAAAAAGTCTGGTTTCTTTGGTTTACAGGGGAAGGTGGGACGAGGGGGCAGGGGAAGGGAAGGGTGTGGGAGGAAAGGCACAGAGAGGCAATGCAGATGACCCTTGTGGGGAGGCCCAGGGCAGAGTGTCACAGTCGGTCTTGTCTGAAACTCTCCCTCAGGGCCCCCCAGATGCACACAGCCCCCTGATGGGCTTGCCAGATGGCAGCCATGCGCAGCTGTTCAAAGGCCCTGGCCTACTGGTGTCCCGTTGCCAGAAGCGGCAGTGCCCAGTGTGCAGGAGAGGGCAGGAGGGCCTGTGCTGCCTGAGCAGCACATGGAGAGAGGTGAGGAGGTGCCCCAGAGAGATCTGGGGGTTCTATTCCTGCAGAGCCACGAGAGCAGCCTGCAGGAACTGTGCCAGGAGGTGGGGCAGGAGGTCTAAGAGCTGGCAACTGCTTTCCAGCAGGTCTGGCTCCATGGCTGCAGTGCTGTGGCATCCACAAGGGAAACCAGAGCAGGCAGTGAGAAGAGTTTGCTGTCCCTCAAGGAAATAAGCAATGGAGAGGAGGCTGAGACAAGGCTATCGAGGGGAGCCCCTTTAAGCACAAGCCTCAGGCAGCAGCTCCAGGAAGTGAGCTCTGTCCGGATGCCCTGTCTGCTTTAAGTGCTTCAGTGCGGAGGGGCTTAAATGCAATTCAGCCGCCAATCAGAGTGGACGCGCTATTTCAACATATCTCTGCGCTATTTCGATGGCCAGTTGTAGTGTGGCTGAGCTATTTAGAAACAGCCATTTTGGGAGCTGTTATTCTGAAATAGTTTATTTCAAAATAAGCGCGTAGTGTAGACATACCCTTAGGTGCTACAAGATTACTCGTTGTTTTTAAAGTTACAGACTAACATGGCAACCTCTCTGAGATTTATTTGGGCATAAGCTTTTGTGGGTAAAAACCAGGCCATCAGATGCATTGGAGTGGTAATTTACAGAGGCAGGGATATAGATATCGGTACTAGTGTATCAAAACATGGAGTTATCCAGTGTAGGACCACTGTGAATGAAGGGACTCCGTGTGTGGGCTCAGCTACATCCACCCTGACCGAATTGGCCTTGGTAACACTATTCCTACACTGGATAAGTAGCTCTTTTCTTTGGGTATCCCTGCCTCTGTAATTTTAACTCCAATGCATCTGATGAAGTGTTTTTTACCTGCAAAAGCTTATGCCCAAATAAATCTTTAAGGTGCCACATGACTCCTTGTTTTTGCAGCTACAGACTAACAGGGCTCCCCCTCTGAGACATATCTTTAATGTTATTTTAGCCAGAGTAGCGAGAGCAGGTTAGCTATTCTGAGTTGAGAATCACAGAGTACCCACATGGTTTGTAGGCAAGGGACTTTTTGTACACTGTGAATGAGGATAGTCACTTGTATCACTGAATTATCTGCTTGTTGAGCATAGACAACTTTGGTCTTTTGGGAAGGCGCACAGGCTTAACTGTATGTATGTTTAAATGATTTTGCAATTTTGCCTAATAAATCCTCAGAATTTAGAATTTAATCTGAGCAAGTGCTTCATAGTGCTTTGCTAACTCGTTATTGATTTCCTGTCACTATTTTTCATTGCTGCCTTCTTTACAACTGAAAAAAGCAATTGCTTTATGTTTGGCTTTGTTTCAAATACAGCAGCAGATGACTTCTCTCGCAAACTCCTATAGTCCGCATATAGTATTTCCTTGAGGGACATTACTCATAGGAAATCCTCTATCTTGTTTGACCTTCTATTGATCTGAATAAATTCCACGTCCTGTAGACTGCTCCGATAATAAGGCTCTACTGCACCTTTTTCTCTGACTCTGTGTGTAAGTGCGTCACAGTGAAGTGTAGTAATTACTCAGCTGAAGTTTGGCCCAATTTAAATACCACACCATTGACATGTTGGAGCTACATATGGCATGTGCCAAGTTACAACAGCTACAGCTCTGAAATCCTTGTGTCTAGGAGGAGATACATCTCTCTTATAGAGCCAAGATTTAGCTTGTAGCTCTAGAGATAGTTTCCCCTAGCACTTCAATGTGAGTACGTTTAGACCCACAGATACTGTCGACAAAGCTTCTGTCGACAAAGAGCGTCTAGACCACATCCAGTTCTGTCGACAAAGCAAGCCACTTTGTCGACATGATAGTGTGGACACAAAGGACATTGTAGATGCAATAATGCCTTTTGTTGACAGAACTCTGTTGACAGAAGGCGTTATTCCTCGTAGAATGAGGTTTACAGCTGTCAACAAAACTGCCGAGTTCTGTCAACGTTATGTCAACAGAACTCAGCAGCAGTGTAGACGCAGGTATAGTTTTGTCAACAAAAGTCCACTTTTGTCAATAAAACCCTGTAGTCTAGACACACCCTGTGTGTGAACACAACTGTGGGACGAGACAGGCCACTCCTTCTTGGAAACTGGGCAGCTGCACGCTTTGGATAGAAGAAGCAGACCCTAAGCTTGTCCAGATGAAAGACTGTGATTTGCTCTGACCCTTCTGTGAGGTGCATAAGAGAAAGGGAAGCTCCATTCATTCTTTGTTGGTGTTTTTTTCTCCCTTCAACCTCCTGTATTAAGGACCTGGATAATTTGCTCCAAAGTTAGGGACACCTAATCCAGCCGTTTTCAAACTTTTTTCCTCATGACCCAGCTGAAGAAAATTATTGATGCTCACGACCCAACATAATTTGACTAGAGTCTGGGCTCCAGGGTGGGGCTAAGGAGGAGAGCTTTGGGGTGTAGAAGGGGGCTTCAGCTTGGGGGTGGGTCAAGGCTGTGGTAGGAGGGGCACAGCGCAGTCTGCAGTGCAGGACAGGCAGGCAGGAGGGGCACAGCACAGTCTGCAATGCAGGACAGGCAAGGAGCTGCCTTAGCACCCCCTGATCCCCCGACAATGGGACCCAACCCCCGACATTCCACCGCCCAGCGCTGAGTCGTGACCCGTAGTTGGAAAACCATTGACATAATCCCCCTCCCCTAAAATAATTAATCAACTCAAATCCTGATTGATCACATTTGCAGAGATAATAAACCGACTCCGGGACCCCACTGTGCTGGTCCCACTGCGACCATCCCTGTCGACAGAGAAATGCAGCGAAAGGATCATTGCCATGCTTAGGACTTGTTGGGATGAAGATCCAGGGAGAAGGCCAACATTCTCCTCTGTGAAGAGAGGGTTAAGAGATGCAAGCCCCGAAGGGTGAGTCTTATTTGTCTGTCTGAGAATTATTCCAGATCTACATTGTGGTTTTCATCCAGTGGGCTCCCTAAGTGTTATAGGAATGGTCTCCAATATGTGGGGATTGCTCAGATAGCGCTGAAATGTGTCTGCATCAGAGATGGGACGTGGCACCTTTTTAACAGCCCACAGCACCACTGCAGGACAGGTTAGACCAGGGAGATGAAGATGTAGGTTTTCCCCAATAGCTCACCTTTTGGACCTATAAGGATAGCAAAGTTCTGGGCTAGGCTTCCAAGCAAGGTTGTGGAGTACCGTCACTGGAAGTCGGACAAACACCTGTCCGGGAGGATCTAGACTAGTCATGCCTCATCACAAACAGCTGGACTAGACGCCCTCTCAGGGCCTGGCCAGCCAAATATTTCTGTGATTGTATGAATAATGTCCAGCTAAAAGCACAATTCAGGGGTCTCTTGGGCAGTGGGGCATGGTTTACATGGATGCAGTGAACCTAACAGCTAGCCAGTTTTAGAAAAGCTTTTGAAGTTGATTCCAAGGACTGCAGCTCCACTCTATCAATATTTACCTTTTTGAAATCCCATTTTTTCTATTGGTTACATGTTTTTCTTTGCTTTCTTGAGAAAAAGTCCCTTATGGTGGAAATTGTGGGCTATACAGGAGGAATCATTAAACTAATGTTATGCAGAGTTTTATCAAAGTAGGAATTTGAAAAAAGAGGAATTTTTATGCTCTAATCTTTCACTTATAGTATCTTAAGTGATACAGGTAATAGATATGTAAAAAACCCATCAGAGAAAAATATATTTTAGTTGATGGTATCTTTAAATACTTAGCATACAATTACCTACAGAAGAATTTGGCCATAATGACAGATATCACTTTGAGTCTTGCAAGGGACTTGGATTTGATGATCCATCTCAAAATTGTGCCTTCTGTCAGCCAGAGCTCCCAAATACTATGTGGATTTGTCTAGACTTCATGGCTCCGTCAACGGAGCCATGTAAAGTAGTTTACTCGACATAGTCAATGAAGCAGGGATTTAAATAATCCCCTCTTCATTAAAATAAAAATGGCCGCCGCACTGTGCCGACAATCAGCTGATTATTTAAATCCTCGCTTCATTGACTATGTCTAGTAAACTACTTTACATGGTTCCGTCGATGGAGCCATGTAGTCTAGATACACTCTGTGAAAGCATTAGTTCAGTACTAACACTATCTGTAGCATGTCTAGTCTCCATGTCATGAGAGGCCCTAGTGAGGAGTAGCCAAGTATCATAAGTCATTTCTCCTCAATGAACTCTAGATGCTGGAGTGGATCTTTGAGTGGAAATGGAAGTGGAATACAGTTCCCATCAATACTTTGTATTATTTCATGCCATTATGCAAATTTAAAAAATAGATACTGTATTTGTTTGAACAATTCCATTAGCCACATAGGCATCTTGGATAACATGGTAAATAAGCTGGAAACGTATGCCAATCACTTGGAGGAAGTGGTGGAAGAAAGGACAGCCCAGTTGGTAGCAGAGAAGAAAAAGACAGATAAACTTTTGTCAGCTATGCTGCCCAGGTAATCAAACAACCTTTGTATGTTCACAAGTTTGTTGACCATAGAAATTGGTGCAAGACGGAGCCTTGAATGCATGGTGTTTCCCAGGATGCTTTGCAAAGCACTTCAGTAACTTAAGCGCTGGCCGCACAGTCTCTTCTGAAGTAATCGCAAGCTCAACAGTAGCTCACATGCGCACAGCTTTGGAGAAAAGGTCTCATTCTAGTAGAAAACAAATGGATTGTTGCCTCGGGCTTTAACTATTTAATGTTAATTATTTATTAATGATTATTAATTATATTATGATAGTGCCTAGAAGCTACAGTCAGGGACCAGGACCCACTGTGGTAGATGTTATACAAGCACAGAACCAAAAGGCGGTTCTCCCCCCACCCCACCCCAGGAGCTGACAGTCTGAGACAAGAATTTTCAAATTTCATTGCACTGTCACCCCCTTCTGACAACAAACATTATTACACAGCTCCAGGAGGGAGAATGAATCAGCCAAGCCCTGCTACCTTGGGTGGGGGAGCCAGAGCCAAAGCCCAAGCCACACTGCCTAGCAAAGCAGAAACCTAAGGGCTTCCACCCCAGGCCTATAACCTGAGCCCTGCTGCTCAGGGCTGATGTCGTTGGCTTTTGGCAATGGGGCTCATGCTTTGGCCTCCAGCTCCAGCAGTTCTAAGCCAGTCCCAATGATCTCATTACAAAGGGGTTGTGACCCTCTTTCAGGTCCTGATCCACGGTTTTGAGAATTGCTGGTGTAAGACAAAGGACTGTCTCTGGGTACACCAGACATGAGGAGCAGAAGTGAAACAATGAGCCTGAATTGTTCAACATAGGTTGTGGTCTCAGCATGCCAGCTCCCTTCCTCCTTGACAGATATTTTGTGGGGATGGCCTGAATCCATGCTAGCCAACATCATGTAGTGCTCACACTATCTAGTGCTCCACTGACCTTCACCCTCCCATGCCCCTCTGGCAAATGGGAGGTTGTGGCCATTTTTCTCTGTGGCATCTTCTTTCCTCCAGTAGAGGGTCTAATCTGGAGACCTTTTGCCAAAGTGGAAGCTGATATAAACCCAGGGTGAATCCTGGTTTGGGAATTTTTAAGGCAGTCTTGAAAGTGCTTTAAATGGACCATTTGTATTTCCCAAAGGCGCAGGATGTCAAGGCCAAATGGATTTATTCTGAGGTGGGGGGCTAGGGAACAGAGAGAGAGAGATCAAACAAACCTGAGGAAAAAGATCATTTTCTCCTCTTGTCCCAGCTTCATCAGAGAGCAGCTCATTGCGGGGAAGTCCGTGGAGCCTGAGAGTTTTGAGTCTGTGACCATCTTCTTCTCTGATATCGTTGGGTTCACCACTTTGTGTTCCCTCAGCAACCCCCTGCAAGTGGTCAGTCTCCTGAATGACCTGTACAGCCTGTTTGATAACATCATTAAAACCTACGATGTATACAAGGTGAGACACGCTGCTGCCTGCTCATCGGGCAGCGCCATTGCTGGGCCCCGTCCGGCAAGCAGTGTGTTGGCAGAACGTCTATCGAAGTCGAGGGGAGTTTCCTGGAGAGAGAGCCCTCACTGAGTCAGTCTGTAGCTACATGCATCCAAAGCCCCATTAACATCACTGATGTTAGCTCAGTGTCTTGATTAATGGATTCCAAGTCCAGAAGGAAACATCTAGTCTGACCTCCTGTATAGTGTAGGTCAAAGAATTTCCCCCAAATAACTCATAGAATGGAGCATTTAGAAAAACAACCAGCCTTGATGGAGAATCCACCATGGTCCTGGGTAAATTGTTCCAATTGTTGATGTTTGAGAGCAGTCATGAATAAAATTCTGTACATGTGTGTGAGTGGGAATGGGAAGTGGCTCACAGAACTTCCCTCCCTCTAAGCTGTCTATCTGAATGCCGCCCTGTTTGATAGCAAAAGAGAGGTCTAAGCATCTGATGGATGAATGGTGGCCGGGGAAGATGATTAAATTGGTTGAACATAGGCCCTTTAGACTAGCGACTCTGTGTCACAAAGGATGCCCCAGCAATTGGTCCGATCATTGGAAAAGAGGGACAGACTTAGTGTTTTGGAGCGAGCTTGCAAAAAAGGCGCTCAGGTGTGGTACATGTATAGGAAGGAAGGAGAGTTGATTGTACCCAACAATCATAGCATTAACCACAAAGCCAGCTGCAGAGCACCTTAAAGCAATGATTCTTAAAGCATTCTCCAAATATAACTCATCCATTTTCAATTAAAAAAAAGACACATCTGGTCTTTAGGTTGCTACGACCATCCTGTTGCAAGGGAAATGGAGCTCAACAGTTCTGGACTCCATGAACAGTTGCCAACATATACAAAGGGCTGGATAGGACCTCGAAGTCATTGAATCCATTTCTCCCCATGCTGACTATCTTTCTCCAAATCCTATTTAGCACTTAAATTCTACAGTAGGTATCTTCAAAGGTTTATCTTCAAAATGACAGCTACCTATCTACGGATCCTCCAATGAGGCAAGCTGTTTACTAAGTTTAACCCAAGTGTGAACAGGCACAGATGTGAAGAAACTAAGCCAAGGCTTATCAAAGTCAGTGGGTTTCTTTCCTTCCATGTCAAATTACTTTAAATCAGACTCCAAGTCACTTGCCCAGGATCATTCTGCAACACAATGGCAGAACCATGACTAAAATGTAGACAATTTTAACTCCCTCTTTTAAGCTAAGTCCACTCGTTTGCGTGGTCTCTAAGGCTGGCTATTGTTTGCCCTGTGACTCAGATGCCTAAGTGCTTTTTGTTTTCTTTGCTACAGGTTGAAACAATTGGCGATGCCTACATGGTTGCCAGTGGCCTCCCCATCCGCAATGGAATGAAGCACGTGGAGGAAATCGCCACCATGTCTTTGCACTTCCTCAATGCAGTGGTCCCTTTCAAGATAGGGCACATGCCCAAAGATAAGCTGAAACTGAGGATTGGCATTAACACCGGTAAATAGCATGAGTCTCGTCTGCTTCCAATACCGAGATTTGTTCTCGGTCCCTAGAAACTGAGCCACAAATGCATAATTCACATGTTTGCATCAATGCATAATTCACCTCTGGATGAGTCAAGTATCAGATTAAGAGGAGATTGGAGAGTGATTAGAGATTTGTCCTCCACTCCTAATTCAGCCAAGATTCTCCTTAACCGTAATTTGGATTTTTGCCTGGAGAACTAGTAGCTAAATGTTTGTTTTAATCTTGGGCATGGGATTCATCCTTAACTCGCTGTAGCACATACTGAGCTGTTACAGCATGGCTGTGTCTAGACTGGCAAGTTTTTCCGCAAAATCGTCCGATTTTGTGGAAAAACTTGCCAGCTGTTTACACTGGCCGCTTGATTTTCCGGAAAAGCAATGACGATCTACTGTAAAATCATCAGTGCTTTTCCGGAAAAACTATGCTGCTCCTGTTCGGGCAAAAGTCTTTTTCCAAAAGACTTTTGCGCAAAAGGGCCAGTGTAGACAGCATAGTACTGTTTTCCGCAAAAAAGCCCCGATCACGAAAATGGCGATCGGGGCTTTTTTGCGGAAAACCGCGTCTAGATTGGCCATGGACACTTTTCTGCAAAAAGTGCTTATGCGGAAAAGCATCCTGCCAATCTAGATGCTCTTTTCCGAAAATGCTTTTAACGGAAAACTTTTCCGTTAAAAGCATTTCTGGAAAGTCATGCCAGTTTAGACGTAGCCCATGAGTCAGGGAGCTGGGTATTCCGGATTCTCTTCACACCTCAGCCATGACTTGCTGTCTGGCCTTGGCAACTTCTGTAACAATTCCATCCTCAGTTTCCCAATCAGCAAGGTGGCAATATTAACATTCAGTGACCTGACAGAATGCTGGGGAGATTAATTAGTTTTTATTTTAAATGCTTTGAGATCCTTGGCTGAAAGGTGCTATAGAACTGTAAAACATGAATTTACAACTCTTAGAACTACTTACAACACTCTTATCTGTGTTTGTAAATCACTGCGTACGTGTGCAGTGCTATGTAAATCACTTTATAATGATTCTATTAGTGTTGGGCTTCTGCAGTACTCATCTAAAGAATGACACCTGCGTTCCCCGTTGGTGCTTTCTGTTTCCTGTTCAACCATAGCTTGGAGTCTATGCTAACAGATGCGTTTGTGGCGAAGCTCAATGCAGCACATTCCAGCAAAATCATTTCGAAGTGCATTTCAGTGGTAGGACTGGTCATCCCACAAATATTGGCCTAAAACTATCATGCGGCCTCCTATTAGAGTGAATAGGATCTAATTCCTAGAGCAGAGCAACGTGTCTCAGATGAATGCTTTATTTGCTGAAAAAAACGGTTTTGAACAACATGAAACATACTCACAAACTGGACACAAATTTGCAGATTCGTTTCATCTGCAAAAATGGAAGAGGAGGCCACATCCCCTTTACCATTTTAGCTTACTGGGCAGGGCAGTCACCTGGGGTGAGGGAGGCCTAGGTTCTCAAACAGAGGTCAGGAAGAAATCTCTCCTATGGGCAGCTTATTACACAACTCCCTGCTGCTATAGAACTCATAGTCTGAAACATCTGGTATTGGTAGAGTCCAGATGTTGTTGCATACATGGACCACTGGTTTGCTCCTGCATGGCAATTTCTATGTTCTTTTCTCATGGTGTTTCAGTGAGAATTGTAAATGTTAAAATAAAAGAGGGAAATAATTGTATTAAAATGAAAGCATTCGGATGAGTTTCATCTCTAATAACACAACTAAGCATTTCTATGATCTTTAAATAAATCCTAGCTCTTTTTCCCTCCATTGATCACAAAGAGCCTTTCAAAGAGGTCACTGTTACTATCCCCATTGTACAGATGCCTCGTGAGATTAAGCGACTCATCCCAGTTAGAACATATTTGTACACAAAATCGTTTTTATAGCAGCAGTCAGATTAGCTAGGGAACATTGCTGTGTTCGCTGTTGTGAAAACTGAGACTAAAAGTCATGAGTTGCGAACATCAAAAATGTTAGTTGGTATCAGAGAGGGGATTAGAACTGAGGGGTTACACGTACCCAGGCTTGGGATCCACGTAGGAGACAGACACTCTCTCATTTAAACTGCTTCTCCAATGGCTGGCTAGGAGTCTGAGTGCGAGGCAAAATTGCTTTGCACGACACTTTCTGATTTGATAGCTTCATGGTTTGTACTTTGTTTTGTACTTTAGGACCTGTTGTGGCAGGCGTGGTGGGAATCACAATGCCACGGTACTGTCTGTTTGGAGACACTGTTAACATGGCTTCAAGGATGGAAAGCACCAGTTTGCGTAGGTATCATTTATGATGAGTTTGTAGTCATCCTGCATGACACTTTTTTTAACTTGTTTGTGTCAAAACTTTGCCATGCAATGCTGTGATGGACCACTCTGATGAACTCTAGGGTTCTTACATCTAAGATCATTTCAGATAACAACAACTAATTCTTATATAAGGCTTTGTTATCACCAGATCTCAGAGCACTTTACAAAGGAGATCAGAATCATTATCCTCATTTTACTGTGGGGCAAAATAAAGGATGGAGAGGTGAAGTGACTTGACCCAGGGCACCCAACTGACGTGGGCCAGAGTTAGGAATATACCCCAGATTCTCCTGAGTTCCAGATCATTGCTCTGTCCACATTGTTCACAACCAGTTGGAAGGTCTAATCTTTGAAGAACCTAAAATGAACACGGTATTTTTTATGTTTGTTACTGCCCTCAGACACACATGACCGTGTGTCATAGACCTTCTACACAGAGAAACCTTTGCTTGCTCATTTCTTCTTCTGATGATGCCAGGGGGCTGTGAATGACCACATTGTGCAGCATAGTGATAACTGCAAAGATGTAGATAGCTATGGACATTATAAGACCAAATATTAAAAGAGCAAGTTTGAGGTTTATATAATAAACACCTTGCTTTTGCCCTGGAGACCATCACTGTCAAGTGACTTCATTTTAAATGGAGTCAGACTAAAAACCAAAATCTTAATTACAAACCCTTCTGAACAGGAGGAAAGATTCAGGCCAGAAATGAAATGCCACCTTATGGACGCTAAACATTAACTTCTACACAGATTGATCCTGCCTCATTAACTAATTACTCCTCCCCAGCCAGCCATGCACCTTTCTAACACAACTAAACCAATGTATTTTGCTGTAGCTCTCCGAATCCATGTCTCCACCACCACCGCTAATGCCTTGCAATCCATCGGCGGGTATGACTTGCAAGAAAGAGGGACCATAACAGTAAAGGTATGAACGTTGAGAGTGCAGATGGGAGCCTATCATGCCAAGGAGGTAGATTTCATATACTAATGGGGGAATTTGCAAGGATGTACAATGGAAGCAGATTCACAGAACATGGATATGAACTGATATTAATGCATGCATGTATAAACATCACACATACAGAGGTGTTCGGTACTATGGAGTGACATAAGCACATAAGAACGGCCGTACTGAGTCAGACGAAAGGTCCATCTAGCCCAGTATCCTGTCTGCTGACAGTGGCCAGCACCAGGTGCCCCAGAGAGGGTGGACCGAAGACAATGATCAAGCGATTTGTCTCCTGCCATTCCTCTCTAGCCTCTGACAAACAGAGGCCAAGGACACCATTTTATCCCCTGGCTAATAGCCTTTTATGGACCTAACCTCCTTTTAGCCTTTTATGGACTTAGATCAGACACCTCTATTATGATAACCATCTGCCTAAATAGGACTCCATGCTGTGAAGTCGTGTTCTCGCAGCCCTTTTAGCACCTCACACCCGTGGATTCTGGGCGTTGTCCTTACCGTCATGCTCTATGTTGATATTACAGTGCTTTGTTACCGTGGTGTCCAACCCGTTCTGAAGCAGTAGCCACAATAGTGGCTAGTGCTGTAACATTATTCTGAAAATGTAAATAATGTTGTGAGCCAACTAGCCACACTCAGCCGGCCAAATAGCCACATGTGACACGTGGCTTGTGCGTTGGACACCACGGCTTTATGACTTATGTTGCTAGAGTGCCTTGAGTAAAGGTCTGTGGCCTCCTCGTGCTGGCCTCTGTACCAAACTATAACCAAGAGAAGTTTCTGCTCCCAGGTCACAGTAAAACTTGCCAGAAGTTTTCCAATGGATCAGTTTCATTGGAAAATACCCATTTCCCAATCAAGAATATTTGACCAAACTAATTGGTGTTCCAGGGTCCATGGCTCTGGGGCAGCTCTGCTATGCAGACTGCTCTAGGGCCAGGGAACCCTTAGCTTCCACGTGGACAGCCCTAGGACCCAGCTGATCAGGGAGTCTGGAAGGCCTGGGGTCTCCTGCCTCAGAGCTGTTCCCATGGGGGGCTTGTCCTGCAGCCACAGACACTGGGAGTCTAGGCATTTGTGTCAGTTTCATGAGTGCAGTAGGAATTTCAATCAACAGCAGCCAAGGTTTCAGGCAGAGCTGCTCTTAGAGGGCACGTCAACACAGCAGGGCAGAAGTCGAATCAAGATACCCAACTTCAGTATTGTCAATTGCGTAGCTTAGATCGCAATAGCTTCATTTGGCTGTAGGCGCTGTCTACACAGCAGGAAGGTGAAGGGTGAACATTCTTCCTTCGACTTCCCTTACTCCTCATGAAATGAGGGTTACCGTGAGTCGTCATTATTTCGAAATAATGGCTTGCTGTGTAGATGCACTCTTTCTCATTTCGGAATAATGTCAGCTGCTGTGTAGACATACCCAGAGGGGGGAAGTCGGGACGGCTGGCTTGGGCACCAGCATTGAAGGGCACTTGGTCATTGCGTTTGAGGGTGCTAAATCCCTGGAGACAGGGAGGCAGTTGGTTTAATTATGTTTTAGCTTTTGGAGATTTTATGGTACTTTTTCAGTATGGGGGACACGGAAAAGGTTTGCCATCCTGTGTGACAAAATGCCTCTGGGTGGCTGTGGTTTCAGGGCATCTATTTCATTTTGAAAACCCCACATGTGGACATTTCCCAAATGGTTCCTTCCCCAAGGCTGTGTCCAGACTCAGGGGTTTTTTCGGGAAAAGTAGCCTTTTCCCGAAAAAACTTCCCCTGCATCCAGACTCAAGCCGCGTTCTTTCGAAATTATTTCGAAAGAACGCGGCTTTTCTTTCGATGGCGGTAAACCTCGTTTCACGAGGAAGAACGCCTTCTTTCGAAAGTTCCTCTTTTGAAAGAAGGCGTTCTTCAATGTAAATAGGGCTTCCTCGAAAGAGAGCATCCAGACTCGCTGGGTGCTCTCTTTCGAAAAAGCGGATTGCTCTTTCGAAAGATCCGCCTGCAGTCTAGACGCGATCTTTCGAAAGAGGCTCTTTCGAAAGATGCTTTTGAAAGAGCCTCTTTCGAAAGAAGCCTGCAGTCTAGACATAGCCCAAGAGCCCCAGGTTGGGGGACACTTTGAAAAATTTGGAACCAAACCTAATTCTGAAATTTCAAATTTTCTCAGCACCCAGAAATTCCTAGTTTGGGCCAGCTGTACTTACCATCACTGTGGGTTTTCTTTCCCCTTGCCCCCAGATTTCTTTGTGCAACTCCACTTTCATTTCTTTCTGTTGTCAGGGGAAAGGAGAGCACAGAACGTTTTGGTTAAAAGGAAAAGATGGCCTTCACTTGTCTCTCCCGGAGCTCAGTGACAATTTATAAGCTTGTCGAAGGACACTTTGCAGGTAAGACACTGGTAAGATTTCTGTAGGGAACAGTGTTAAATCCATGCTGATAATGTAGTTATACAGTTGAAGGACTGGAGAAGTGATCTAACATGTGGGTCTGTTGAAGAAAACTCAGAGTATAGATGTAGCCCCAGAGACAATAATGAGTTTGTTCAACAGTCTAAGCTAAGAGTCACTTGGCTTTTAGCTCATGCAGTTGAGGTCCATGCACTAAGCTCCAAAGGTCCCAGGTTTGATTCCATCAGAACGCACCCACCATCACATGGCCCGTGTGCACAGCATCTGAGTCTCTTAAAGCTCCCAATTCTAAAACTGTACTTTAACTCTCAATCCCTGATCATGACGAAAATGGCAGTTGTTGCAGATGCACCCGAAGACATCTCCATTAAAACTGATGAGAAATTCTCCATTGAAATCAATGCTGGATATGACCTTTGGTACATAAGAAGCAGAGGGAATCAAACTGTTCTTTGCATATTCACTGGGCAAAATTCAATTCTGTCATAAACAGATGATATAAGTAAGATTTATATGAGCGATTCATTTGGCTGACTGCCTTTCCCATGTAAGGGTTATTTAATTTGATGCATTAAAACCTTGGCAAATCCTATAAATACGCACAGGAAATGCCCTTCCAAAGGGGATGCAGTTCTATATCTTCCTATTTAGGATCCCTCAGTAGTGAACTAGAAGGCAAGACAGAGAATATGTTGCAATCCTGTGCAGTGTAGTGTTTGTGGGGAGAAAAACATTTTCACCACTTGTAAGTTCATAATGCATTCAAATGCAAAGCTCCCAAAAACATGGTGGAGAGACAACACGTGTGCTTTTCCAAAGCTTTATACCATTAGTTAGGAAGCAAAACACTCAGACAGTTTTGTAGGAAACATTTGCTGTGCTGTGGCACATTAAGGATGTGGAGACTGGCATTTTTCTTCTCAAAATACTTTTGTGTTTTGGTTGAGATATAAACCCCCAAAGGCCAGATCTTCTGATCCGCAAAGGGCCTTTTTGTATTGTACTGGTGACTCCTAGTGATCACAAATTGCCAGTGAAGAATCCTCCCTGTTCGAGAGAGCTCTCTACTTGGGTACACCGGCTTCCCTTTCCCATGCAGAGCAAGGGGAATGAAGGGAAGTGGGTGAATTGGGGAGAGGAAGAAGCATAGCAAAGCAGAGCTCTGCTATACCTAATCCTCCTCTGATGTAAGGTCCATTTTACCAAGAACAGGCAGTTCTTAAATGAGGGAGCCACTGTGACTGTTAATCTCCACAACGGCTGAGTACAGCTAAGCTGTAATGAAGAATTAGAACTATCCTAAATTCCTAGGTGAGGTGGCTGTGCTCTTCTATGTCACATTCTATCCAGGCGTGGACTGAGGTAAATTAATTCTTATAACATGTGAAGAGCCCAGTCCTAAAGTGCTGATGTGGCCCAAACCTTTCTTGGCTTTGGTGAGCGAAACTCCCACACCTGGACAGTAGAATTGGTACCGTTTTTTCGTCCTTCTGTCAAACAGTTTGGGATCTTTCTGGAGGAAAGATGGGCTGGCCCTTTAAGGATATGGACTCAGCCCTGCCTTTCCTTTGACACCAGGTGTCTGGTGATGAGTTTGAGCGTCAGCCAATGCTTGGGTCAAGTAACCAGGCATCACATGATAGTGGTCGGTTGGCACAGCTTCCTAGGGAAGAGCCTGCTCCCTCTGAGAGAAGATTGCCAGGAGCTAGGTCAGGTCTGGGAGAGGGCTCTCCAGGCAAATCCACAGAGAACCTGAAAGAGGTGTCCAGTTCAAAGGGACGTGGGGCGCTAAGAGAGAGAACTGAGGTCCAAACCTCTGAGATCAGAGAATCTGAGGATAACGAGCAGGAAAAAGGTTCCACTCATCAGCCAGAGTGGAGACTTGGCTGGAAGCAACCTGCAATAGCAGCAGGAGCAGACATCTTAAGAGAAGTAACAACCATCCAGTGAAGATACTTGAGAACACCTCAGGCAGGAGGAGCTGGGGTTTGGGAAAGAAACCCAGTGAGGGGCTTAACAAACTGGAGTTGGGAGACAGGAGAAATAATAGCAGCTAAAGCAAACCTACTCATTGCTTTTTTATGATAGTGTTGATGTCTTAATAAATGCAGGCCCCAAGAAGGGGTATTATTAGACGCACTGGGGGTATGCCCACACTAGGAAACTATTTCAAAATAACTAAAATTGATTTAATAACTCCTGAAATAACAAAATCGAAATAGTGTGTCCTTGCTATGGAGAAGCCTCAAAATTAGTCCAAGGAAGGCTCTGTTAATGCTTCGACTTAGAGCCCCAGGAAGCACTGGGGAGAAATTAGTTCAAATGACTCTGGGGAGTAGGTATTTCAAATAGCAGCACCGGCGCGTCCACACTACCACTATTTCAAAATAACTCTTTTGAAATTAACATTATTCCTTGAGGAAATCAGGAATACAGATGTTGAAATAAGCAGCCCGTTACTTCGAAATAACAGGTCTGGTAGTGTGGATGGTGCACTTATAAATTCGATCTAAGGGGAGAGGAATTATGTCTAAATAAAGCCCTAGTGTAGACCAGAACTGGGTGCAGTTTTTGAGAACCCCCCAAAAGGGGAAACTGAGTCAGCAGGCGGGTTGCTTGATGGATCAGGCCTGACTTTGTCAGTCACCCATATAAGAGAAATCCACATTTCCTCTGCTCTGAAAATTGAATCATACTGTGCCACTTCTTCCTGTGGTTCTTGACACTCCGGATGACCATCACCTTCTCATTGCAGTAGGAGGAACTCATTGCTGGGGCTTTTGATCACAGTGCAAACTGAGGCCCTTTCACTGCAACATGGTCTGAATGGAAGACTTGCGTAGTAGTTCAACAGTGCACTGACTGATGTGGAGACCAGCATTTAAGACAAACGTCTTCCTGCCCCACCAGCCACAGTGGGCCTCAGTCTTCTATCCTGTTGAAAGGTGATCTCTCGTAAATAGTTTGTTGTGAACAACACGGGCTAAAATCTCTTGCCTCCAGCCATGTTCCAGATTGAACCCTCAGATGCTAATAATGCAAATAGCAATTAGTTGGGCATTCCATGGGGAAAGTAACAACCATGTACATTGTGGAGATGAGCAAAATGAAGATGAAGTGCAGTTTCATTTCTCTGCATTACAGGCCTCACTAAATAATGTACAGATCTTTCCTTGGTCGTTCAGAACACTCCTGGGTTCCCTGAGAATAGCAGCTGGGTCCCTATTGCAGCCCGAACTTCCTGAACCTTCCTTCCTGCTCCTCCAGGCAGGCTGAGTTGCCAACTTTGGGATAGGGATTGCCTTAGCTGACACTCCCTAAGAATCTGTACATGGATCCGTACATGCATTCACAAGCCCAAGCCCAAATCACTTCTGAACTTTGGGGAATGACAGATCCAAGTTCAGATCAGGATCCAAACTTTGTAGCTTGTGTTATGTCCATATGCAGCTGGTGGCATCGGCTAAATCCAGTGGGAGTTATTGGCACTCAGACACTTGGTTCCATAGCCGACAGGGACTGTGGGAATTCTGTGACACACTGAGCTGCCGGGAACATGTGGGAGTGAGACTCAATTCAGGTTAGCAAAGAATAAGGCAATAAATTTGAAACATATTTTATTGGAATTATTTCAGAGTCCCCCCCCGCATTAGTTTTAGCAGTGTTGACTTTCACGTGCTGCCGTAGTCTATGTAATAGGTTAACACTGAAATTGCATGTTATTTTTTGTGACTAAATATTAGTGCAAATGAATTATTAACAACTATTGTTGCAATCTAATTTTGTTCACAGCTAGAGGCCTCAACCAGCACATGGGCCTTATTGTGGTAGGCTTTGTATGATTACATAGTTTGTGACTGCTCCTGCCCCCAAAGAACCTAGGCTATGTTTACACTGCAGACTTCTTGCTCAAGAACTTTTTGCGGAAGAGATCTTCCGCAAAAAGTTCTCATGCAGGAGCGCATTCACACTGACATGCTTTTGCACAAGAGAGCATCCATACTGCCATGGATGCTCTTGCACAAGAAAGCTCTGATGGTCACAGAATGGCCATCAAAGAACCTGTGCTTTTTCCAGTAGGGGTTTCTTGTGGAAGAAACTCCTCTTGTCCGTCCACACACTCCTTTTTGCGCAAGAGCTCTTGTGCAAAAAGGCTTATTCTTCATAGAAAGAAGAATAACTCTTGTGCAAAAAGCCCTGTCTACTGACTGTATTTTTTCTTGCACAAAACGCGCGTATAGTGTGGATGCTCCGCGAGTTTTTTGTACGAAAACGGCTGGTTTTGCACAAAAACTCTTCAGTGTAGATGTAGCTCTAGAGTCAGACAAGACATATCAAACAGTCAGGAGTAGTTTGAGGAGGGCTGTGGCAGCTGGCGCCCCAGGCGGAACGCGCGATCGGCGCCCCCGCCTGTAGGGCCCTGGGCACCCCGTTGAAGGCGGCGCCCTAGGCGATGGCTGAGTCGGCCTATAGCCACGGGCCGCCCCTGCAAACAGTTGCAGCTGGGAGGGAGTGGGGCAGAAGAATGGAGGAATCATAACAGAATATTACAGCATCAGTAGCAATGATCTCAATAAATGAAATGGAGAAAAGGCAAGCACATTAAAATGGCAGTTTGAAAAGGAGGCAGCTCTTCTGGGAATTTAGCAAGGTTCAAAGAGGGACAGGTTGGTTACATAGCTAAGAAAGAACAGAGGTAGGATAGTTAATGCAAACAAAGTGTATTGGAAAGGAGACAGAATCTGATGCTTCAGGCTTTAAACCAAACTCTGACTATTAGGGATTTGGGGCTGACTGGCATGTCAGGCAGATTACCCCACATCTCTCTACCATGAGATTTTTTGTCCTTTTGGCTGGAGCATCTGGTCACTGTTGGAGACAGGATACTGGTCTAGGTGGATCTCAGGTCTGATCCAGTCTGTTAATGTCTATGTTCTTGTTTCTGTGATGTACTTTCTGTACTGTCTATATAAATATGTGTACTCCAGGTACTGGGATTAATGCAGGCAAATAAAAACACATTCTACCGAGTGTATTCATTTTAGTCTATTTCATCATTATATATATTCTTCCAGTGGGCCAGTAAATGAGTGGCTGTTCATTGTATATATAAATAGAAGATGGAAAGACCTGTTAGAAGAATGCTCCTTTCTGGATACTTGCAAGCGTCAATCTAGATTTAAATGTGTCAAGAAATGGGTCTTCCATCACTTCCCATAGAGACACTCTTCTCCTGCCCCCAGCAGAAACTGGCCATGTGCCTGTCTAGGGCAGCTGTGGCCAACCCATGGTTCGCGAGTTACATGCGGCTCTTTCCCCCAAAAGTGTAGCTCATGAAGCCGCTGCTGTGTCCCCTCCCCCAACGGCCACTGGGTCGGCGATTCAAAATGGCACCCAAGATGGCGGCTGTTGATGGGAGCCTGATGTGGCCAAAAAGCCTACACTTGCTTGCTCCTTAAAGGGGCAGCCTCCTGGGTTTTTTTGTTTGTTTGTTTTTTGCTTGACAATTCGGGGGTGCTTGACAATGCTGGTGCAGCTCTTTGTATTTTTTCCGCCACTGTTTCAGCTTTCTTTGTTAAATGGGTTGGCCACCCCTACTCTAGTGGGTGGCCCCAGAGGTGATAAGTCCTTTCCCCATATGGATGGTTAAAAATTGTTACTATTATCATTTGTATTGATAGTATCTTGGGGTCGTAACTGCAACCAGGGCCCCACTGTACCAGGTGCTAAACACTATGGTCAGGAGGTGCTTTTGCAGCAGGCGTAGATGATCTGAAGCTAGATTTGCTCACTCTAGCTCACTTTGAAAAAAGCCCCCTAGTTTCAAGGCTTCCTGGAAGACTCCATACGTACTGAAGCAGCTACCCCCATGCTGCCACTCTCCTGCGATAGCTTGCTCACATCTAACTTGGGTATGCCTACATGTGCTTCCATCACACCATCTGATTGCTGAGGCTATGTCTAGACTGCAGGCTTCTTTCGAAAGAGCGGCTTGCTTTTTCGAAAGAAAGCATCCAGTGACTCTGGATGCTCTCTTTTGAAGAAGCCCTATTTACATTGAAGAACGCCTTCTTTCGAAAGAGGAACTTTCGAAAGAAGGTGTTCTTCCTCGTGAAATGAGGTTTACCGCCATCGAAAGAAAAGCCGCGTTCTTTCGATTTAATTTCGAAAGAACGCGGCTTGAGTCTGGACGCAGGGGAAGTTTTTTCGAAAAAAGGCTACTTTTTTCGAAAAAACCCCTGAGTCTGGACACAGCCTGATGAGTGGCTATCCACAGGGAGAGTCCCTGCCCCAAGGAGCCTGTATTGTAAATACTTCTCTAGTTCCAGGAGTGAGGATTTGTGCTTTTGGTGCTGTGATCATGCCCGTGAACCTTGCTAACAACAGTGGCATCGGTATGTATGCAGCCATGATGGATGATATTGCTATGCTTTTCCACAGAGCCAGGTTTTCTGTCTAAAGTACTTCTAGGTACAAGTTAATCCAACATTTCCCTTTGTGTGGGGTTCCTGATGGACACAAAGGGCTAGATAAAGGTGAGGTGCATGAGATGTGTCAGGGCTCCATCCTTTCTGGCGCAGAGCATTTGGACCTGGCTCAGTGAAGATTTAAGCTCACGAATATTCCTATTGACTTCAATGGGATTGAACATGCGCTTAAAGTGCTTCATTGGAGCATGCCTGAATACTCAGCACCTTGCAGGATCAAATCCTAAGATGAGCTGGAGAAAGTCTTTAATAAGACCAGGTGGAAGGAGGTTGTAACGAATGGGCTTCTTCTTTGCTTGCTTCTGAAGGGGAGGGAGTTTTGGGAAGTGCTGAGTTAGCATGTCCCTGTGTCTCTTGTAGAAGGGAAACCAGACCTGTTTCATGCCACACAGGTCAAAGGAGAGAAGTGAACAGCACCTGTAAGCTGTTGCCTTTCACTTTTATAAAATTACTGCAGCGGTTGGGGGAAAGGAAGATCAGTGTAATTGTTCCCCATTATTACAGAAACAAAAATCAAGCCATGGTTTATTTTTCCTGTAAAACAATACAGTTTCCCCCCTCCCCCGTGAGTAAAATAAATTGTTTTCATAGTAAAGTACAGTTACAAAGTGGGGAGAGGGGATCAGCAGAATGTGTTAAGAACTGCAGCTGGGCTGTGACTCACAGCAAAACAGCACTGATTCCAAGCGTGAAGATTAGATGACTGAGAACAGCTGGAAGGAAATCACAAGGAGTAAGGTAAGTACTCAAATAAACCCTTCAAATATCTTAAATTCTCTTTGGGTTCTTATCCTGTGCTCCTCACCCTGGCATCTGAGCTCCCTATAGTGTCTCGGTCAGCATGTTAGGCTTAATATTTAGACTTTTAAAATGTGTTTTATGAATCCTACCAGGAATAGAAATGTATGTTGATGGCATTTTTTGTAAGTTGGTGAAAACACGGTTTGGGTTCTGCATTTAAACATTCTTCTGCAGTGATGGCAATCCAAAACATAGCACCACAGGGCAAGTGCATGGAAATAAGAGTGAAATTGGCACTAGACAGAAAGTGAAACTGACAGATCTCGTTTCACTGTGCAAGGTACCTCTATTATTATAAAAAGGAAGCCCCATAAATGTTGTGAAATAAAAATGGATGTTAAATTCTTTCTTCTATAGTAACTCCATTTGCTATTTAGTAGATTTATGATTTTGTTAAAAAGTATATGGATTGATATGCATGGCTGCTTTCTAGGATGGGTATTTTTGGTGTTGTATTTTGTTCTTTACCTGAGAAGTTGTAGTGTGTTGCCAGACCTCCGCCTGTATAATATGAGAAAAGAACAATTGAGTGGCATGCGCAAGGTAAGGCAAAATACAGCTGTGTGATTCAGCAGAACAGAACAGACAACATGCAGGTATATAGATCACATTTTGATCAGTATTTTCTCTCATGGCTTTAACATCTGCTCTGTGAATGTGACCCTGGACAAGCCTAATCCTCTACTCTGATCTCCAGGGCTTGTTTTTCCTCTTGCTTATGTTGATGTAAGTGTGCATCTAGGAACAAGAGCCCTGAAGTCAGTGAAGTTATACCAGTGTAAGTGGGAGTAGAATTGTTATTTACACTACGGCCTCTTTATACTGCCCAGGTAGCAGAAAGGGGCTATAAAGATGGTGCTGATATAACTGCCACCATAGCGTAAAGGACCTTTAGTGTAAACGAAAATTAGGCCCATCGTGTTTGAAGAATCCACCCTCCAAAAGATTTGCATGTAAGGGCTGGATCCCACAGTCCTAAAAGTGCTAACTTCTGCACTGTCCTCTAGGGAGAAGTAGGCTGTGGTGCCAATGAAGTTTTACAGGTGGACAGATGAGGGTGTGTGTGTTTGGGGAGGTGGGATACTGCCAAAAGGAGCAGCCATTGGAACCACAGCTGTGCTGATCCACCAGCCAAGAGGCTGGGCTTTAGAAACACCTGGAGCACAGTTCCATTGGCACACTGCAGACCTAGAGAGAATTCCCTGCCTCTCCACCCCAGTGGAATATCCCTGCATGAAGCCCCTTAACCCGAGCGGCACGTGTATTCCAGCGTTATAGTCGCTGAACTCCATGGGCGCTTTCTCTGTTAGAAACTGGCCCTTCTACAGCAGCTGTAGCAAAATTTAACCCTTCCAAGTAATCACCAAAGTCTAAAGAGTTTTTTAACTGCTGCTAATCTCCATTCTCTGTCTTTCTATGGAAGCATTACCCCCCTCTCTTACTGTCATCCCTGCATGGAGAATGACTGGCTGTTCTCTTCGCAAGAGAGAGAAACTTTTCCAAATAGAAAGCATCCACACTTACTACGCACTGCAAGTTCCGCCATTAGCACTCCTCCGGTTTGCTCGGTGCGTCGTTTTCGTTTTTCACATGTCTCCAAAGAACAGAGAGGCATTTATTGGGGGGAGGGGAAGAAAGACCTGTAGTTTTACTTTGTTTTAATCTCAGTTAGCCTCTGTACGTTGGATTTTAAATCGAAACCCAACAGACTGCAATAGCCAGCGCCTTGTGTCACTCCTGCAAGGGGCAGAGCAGGAACAATGCTCATTTTTCAAAGAGAATCCTCGTTATGTATTCTCTGAGAATCCTGGAGTGGACTTGAGTGGGCCATAGGCAGCGGTCGTTGAAAAATGACTGTTTAATTTGCTGCCACTTTAAGGAGCTGAAATTACAGCAGCCTCTGTTGGATGTCCTTGTCTAATCTTGGATGTCCTGGGCCAACCTGCTCTTTCCACAGTAGCTTAGAGAAACCCCCTCAAGAGGGCAAAGCGGAGCTGATCTCCATTTGTTCAAGCCTTCCGTGGCTACTCCCTAAGGAAGTCTCTGAGGCTGCTGCTACTACAGTTATTGCCAGTTATGATTCCTGTCTGTTGGGGAGAGGCCTGAGACCACCAAATTGATTTCCTGTAGACCACCAAATATGGAGCACAGTACCTTCCGTCACTCCTGATTTGGTCTAACCAGTGCACTGCCAACAGCGTGCACTGCCAGTTCCCTGACTCTTGAAGATCACCGAAGTTGTTTGTTTTCACACAAGCTGCACAGGGTGACTTTGGCTTCCAGCAAAATGCACTGTTGGTAACCACAGAGCCACCACCTTGGTGGAAGCTTATCTGCAGCAGACGGGGTGCAGGTTTCCTGCTCAGATTGGGCTCTGCAGCTGTTAGACTCCTAGAGCCCCGCGGAGGTTTCCCAATTGGTGCACACATCCTAAGACCAGCTGCAGATCTGTGGCAGCTGGAGACTGATAGCAGGAATACTTGGAAGTGCAGGAACCCCCAGCCTAGTGCTTGATCAGGTTCCATTCCAGGCCAGCTCATTGCCGGGGGGGCTTCGTTTGCTTTCTTTTCATACATGATTTTGTTCACTTCTGGTTTCATAGGTGGGACACTCAGAGAACTGGTAGGAGATTGTTCCCTGGCTTTAGTTGCAGATCATGGGTAAGGCTACCAAAGTTTCACAGAGCTGGCTGGAAAGCCCAGTGAATGTCTTTTGAAAAATGCATGTGGTTTTTTTGGTGATAGAAATGTAGCCGTGTTAGTCTGGTGTATATGAAACAAAAGACAGGACTATGTAGCACTTTAAAGACTAACAAGATGGTTTATTAGATGATGAGCTTTCGTGGGCCAGACCTGCTTCTTCAGATCAAATAGTGGAAGAAATTTTTTTTGATTGTATCCTGTGGTATATATAGTTGTGCCAATTTTCTTCCACAATTTGATCTGAGGAAGTGGGTCTGGCCCACGAAAGCTCATCACCTAATAAACCATCTTGTTAGTCTTTAAAGTGCTACATAGTCCTGTTTTTTGTTTCATGTGATTTTTGTGTGTGGTGTTTTACTGTTTCTTTCGAAATGGTGGTGACTTGTGTCACTCAGCTCTCTGGCTGGTTGTAGATCCCGAAAAAAGTTCTATAAAATCTTTCCCTGAACTTTTTCCATCAAAAACCCCGAATTTGAACCAACACATTTAATCAAGCATGAAATCCAGACATCAGCCCATTCAATATAAGGACAACATGTACTGCTAGACTCCAGTGACAACTCTTAGAAGTGCATTGTTTTGGCTCCCTCTAGTGGACATACAAGGAAGAAACTTTACTTGAGAGGGGAAAAAAACAAAAATAAAACAAAAATGAAACAGACCCCCAGATCCCAAACACTTTACTGGGAGCTGACGACCCTGGATTTGAATTTTGTAGCTTGGGCCCATCTCTAATTCTCAGAAGAGGGACTTACCACAGGGCAGGCAAACTTTTCACTGTCACAGACGTGTGTCTCACAGTGCAGCCAGACTTTGGATAGTTTGGGGATGTTTTGGAACCGGAAGGCATTGAACTGGAAGGTGGCCCGGTGGTTTTTCCCATTTTCATGCACTAAGATAGAGTTGTCCGTGGCACACCTAAAGGGCACATTAGAGAACGTCATGAGAACAGACACAGTTGCAAGGCCTAACGACCTTAGATTTCTGATCTTCCACTTTCTTTAACCTCAGGAACCCCATCAGGGTACTCCCTTTACCTGAGACTGGCATTCCTAATGCTGTGCTTAAGCTCACCTTGATGGTCATTCTGCTCTCAGCTGTATCATTGTAACATGCAGGGGGAATAAGTGGGGTGTTTGGATGTCATAGAATCATAGGACTGGAAGGGACCTCGAGAGGTCATCGAGTCCAGCCCCCCGCCCTCAAGGCAGGACTAAGCTCCGCCTACACCATCCCTGACAGATGTCTATCTAACCTGTTCTTAAATATCTCCAGAGAGGGAGATTCCACCACCTCCCTTGGCAATTTATTCCAATATTTGACCACCCTGACAGTTAGGAATTTTTTCCTAATGTCCAATCTAAACCTCCCCTGCTGCACTTTAAGCCCATTACTCCTTGTCCTGTCCTCAGAAACCAAGAGGAACAAATTTTCGCCTTCCTCCTTGTGACACCCTTTTAGATATTTGAAAACCGCTATCATGTCCCCCCTTAATCTTCTTTTTTCCAAAAAAAGTGAAAGCAGACCGTTGTCCCGTTCATACAGCTTCTTCAAGCAACCCTCTTGCTTTTGGTATCGTGAGCTTTCATGGGCTCTTCTTCAGATGACTGGAGTATTATTCTTGGATCTGGACTTTTAATGCTCCAATCGTCTGAAGAAGTGGGTTGTGCCCATGAAAGCTCATGATACTATCTGTAGCTGTGTCTACACTGGCGCGATCTTGCGCAAAAGTGGCCGCTCTTGCGCCAAAACCTGCTGCCTGTCTACACTGGCCACGTGTTCTTGAGCAAGTAAACTGACATTCTAATGTATGAAATCAGGGCTTCTTGCACCAGAACTCTGACGCTCCCGTTCAGGAATAAGCCCTTTTGCGCAACTGTTCTTGTGCAAGAGGCCAGTGTAGACAGGCAACATGAATTTCTTGCGCAAGAAAGCCTTATGGTTAAAATGGCCACCAGGGCTTTCTTGCGCAAGAGCGTCTACCACTGGCATGGATGCTTTTGCGCAAAAGCACATGCCAGTGTAGACGCTCTCTACTGGAAGAGTTTTTGCACAAGAACTCTTCCGCAAAAGAGTTCTTGTGCAAGAAGCTGCTAGTGTAGCCGTAGCCGTATACATGTTTTGTTAGTCTCTAAGGTGCTACTAGACTATGGGTTTTTTTTGAAGTTTTTCCAGTTACAGACTAAATCGGTTACCCCTTTGAACCTCTTGCTTTTTGGCATCTTTGGATGATTTGACAAGATAGTCCTTTGGGTAACAAGTTCTCACCTACTAATGTGTCCTGGACGATGTGCATCATAACTCCTAAGTTGCTACTCAAACCACAAATCTGATTCCTCAGACCCACCCTCCATATTACTCTACACACACCATTTCCTGCTGTGCCAACCAGAACAAACAGGACCTGAAAACCCCCAGCCTGATGTTCATGTGACCCATCCAAATTGCACCCCATTAGGCCTCCCTCCTGCAGTTACCTACCCTTTTGTGATCAGTGGCCACTGGATTTGGTAGAAATATTCCGATGAAGGTGTTACCCAGCAGTTGTTCAGAATCACTTTAAACCTGTGACAACACCAACCAATACACAGCCATCAGCAATCAGCTGTGCGTGGGAGACAATTCCCAGTTATCAATCAATACTTTTCCTACCTGTTACTTAACCCCTTGGCTTCCACTCCAGCAAATACATCAGAGCCAATTTCTGAGGTTTCAACGACAAAGGGGGCTTCTTTTTTACTGGAAAACTTGGCATTCTTTGAGAGAAAGAGAGAGTGTGCATTAATGACCCTTCCCATGCCAAGGCGTGTGACCGTGTAAGATAGCCTGCCACAGAGAAATGGAGAGCAAAAGTCTGGATTATCTTGCTCAGGAGATTCTCAGGTGGGGTGAAAGACAATTAGCTTTACATATCGCTGTATCCATCCATACTTGCTAGCAGCATTTCTCTGATCTGACACTAACACTATTTAGTCACCAGTGATCCCTGTAAGCTGAGCACTTGGACGGCTACCCAGGAGAAATTGCAATGCTGCCCAGTGGATTAACTGAACGCCCATAGCCAGCAATATGTGTTTGCATTGGTGGTGCACATTTGCACATGCCTCAGTGCGCATAACAAAATTTATTCCCTACATGGATGAAAAAATTAGAGGGAACACTGTTAGTCACTGACATGATTAAGGCTTAAATTGCCAAGGCGAGCTGCAGGGTGGCTCAAATCTCCCTTTTGCCAGAGCGGGGCCAGCCCTCTATCTTCTGTCGGGCAAGCTCAAAGACTGGCTGAGTCTCTGGGCACAGTTGGTGGGAGGGAGGTGGCTCTGTGCCCCCAGAAGGGGTGGGGCCTCATGCAGAAGAGCAGGGCCAGGCCAGCCAGCCCTCAGTGCTGTCCAGCCCATGCACCCACTCCAGCGCCATCTGGACCCCACCCCCGGGGCTCCGTAGTGTGCCGCATGGTGCTCCAGCAGTGATTCAAAGGCCTTGGGGCCCATGGGTGGTTAGACAAGCCCCCCAACCCCACTCACAACCCCGGCCCTTCTGCTCAAGCCCCAGCCCCCCAGCACCACAGAGAGGGAGGAGAATGCGCAGCCCCAATCTCCCTGGCCCCGGAGCACCAGGGAGGGAAGGTGGCTCATGGCCCCTGTCTCCCAGCCCTGGAGCACAGATAAGGAGGGGGGTGCTTGGGGGCAGCAGTGCTCCACCCCCAGTATGCCTACAGCAGGCATTCTGGGGGTGGAGTGTGATTGGGGCCATGCTGACAGTCTGGGAAGGCAACTCCTTCTCTTGCCTATGATACTCGCCACCCTGTTGGGGCCTCTTTGAATCTCCAGGCCCTGGGGCAGTTGCTCCCTTTGCCCTTCCTGACCACAGGCCCTGCCTTCTGTTTACGTCCAGCAAGAAAGAAGCAGCTTCTGCAAAAGACAGTCTGAGTTGCAAAATCCGTTTTTACTGAGCTGACAAGGCTTGGGGGCTGGCATCCAGACAAAGCGTCTCTTCATAGGTTCTGAGCGGCCCGGTTTCTCATTGCACTGTAGCAAAAGAAAGCTCGTAAGAGACTGAAACAGTGTGAACAGAAGTGTGGTGCACAGTCCAGAGTGCTATCTCGCTGGTTAGCTAGAGAGAGACACAATCCCCAAGCTTCACAGAGCCATCATTCATCAATTCCTCCCCTGCCTTTGTTTCCTGACTTGCTCATTCTCAGGCAGTGATTTTCTCACACTCCTCCGGACAAAAAAAGCCTGGAGTCATTACAGCAGCCTCTTGTAGCCGTACGCTTTGAGAGACACAATAGTCTGCCTGCCTTGAATTTAAACCTAAAAACTTCACCCAGGCTAACGACCGTGGGATGGTCCATGACATAAAGAACCACTTAGCCTTGTGGCAGACCAAAGAATGGGTAGATGGGGAGTGCGGAAACTGGATGTGCCAGTCCTCACCGGCTCTGTGAGACCTGCTGCCTGCAGAGACGGCCAAGAGAAGGTGAGGAACAAGGGGGGGAGGAGGGATAGCTCAGTGGTTTGAGCATTGGCCTGCTAAACCCAGGGTTGTGAGTTTAATCCTTGTGGAGGCCATTTAGGAATTTGGGGCAAAAATTCATCAGGGATGGTACTTGGTCCTGCTGTGTAGGCAGGGGACTGGCCTTGATGACCTTTCAAGGTCCCTTCCAGTTCTAGGAGATAGGCAATCTCCATTATATTATAACAAGGGACCCATACCGAGGGCAGGATGGAATTAATTGAGCCTGCCTGACTTGGTGGCTGAGGAAACACATCACAGTGCAGTTCCTTCTGCTACCCAGCCTCGTGAAATGCTGGTAGGGTCTGAGTGGAAGCAGAAGAGTATGCTGCATCTGTATAAATGACAGCAGGGATGGGGGGATTCCTACTCCACTGTGGGCTGCCCAGGAGGACCCAGAAGAATTCAGAGTCAACCCAAATCCCTCCTGCCATGGACTACTGAAGCGTGCACTCCTGGCCCTAGCGTCAAAGGTACTCGCTCCATCACATCTGCTGCTTTGGCATTGCCCCAGGAGCAACCTATTGACATGTGCTTTGTAAAAGAGCAGGTGCTTTCTATTTTGAGAGCCTTAGCACAGTCATCAGGGATTAACACTTGGAAGGGAAAATCTAGGGCCACATGCTGCCCTCTTCTGGGAGAAAGCAGAATTTTCTAGAGCATTTTTTTTTTTAACAGCACAGAGTAACACTAACTGTCCTGAGGATGCTTGAGGAGATATTTGTTATCGTTGGCCTGAGGTGACGAACATACTTAAAGGCAGAAGACAGACACGAGCCTAATTCAACCTGCTTTTTTTTTACGATGCCAGTGTAAATGCTGTGACATGCTCTGCCAAGAAATCGAGGGAGGCTCTAAGCAACGCTGAAGCCACATTTGCTTTGAGCATTTAGTCCTAACACTGCAATGGGCTGCACTTGTGAGGCTGGTTTTCCTCAGCGGTACCGCTCTGCATTGATTTTTCTTTTAGCTCCATCCCCTGGATTATTTCATGATGACTTTCGTAGCTGCCCACACCAAACTGTGCCAAAGAAAATGTTTGTGTGGGCATGGGGTTACCGAGTGTGTGTGCACACAAAGGGCCCATGGGCCAATCACAGCACTTTCAGGCAAATGGTTATGAAATTGATGCCCCTTATTCTTTTTGGTTTCATTCGGAGCCATTTGGCATCCCCAAGAGAGTGATGAGCTGAGGTGGAAGGATACATAAAGCGATATTGTGCTCCAAACGAGAGCTGCTTGAATAATGTAGAGAATGGAACTGATCACAAAACAGTTTCCCTTCCACAGGAAGTTTTGATAGTTTGACCTTTCTTTTCATCTTTGAAATGGGACGACAATAAAATATCAAAGTTTTTCACTGAATGAAAAGTTCCAAAAATAATTATTTTTGGAAATGTTCTGTTTCAATCAAAACATGATGTTTCATGTCCTTTCTTCTTAATGTTTATCTATGAGCCCTGTGGGAATTGTGGTTCTGGGTTCCTCATTCCATTGTTTTTCCTTATGAGCTCCGCTCTCTGTACAGCATATGTCCCTCCGTATTACACTTGGGTCTAACCCTGTTACATGATGCACCACAATAGCTGTAAGAACCTGCCAGGCTAAAACTTGGGATCATGGGGGTCCTAAACCACTCATGCCATCAGATCACCACAAGAGGCTTAGGCTAAGCTCCTGTGAGAGGCCCCTTGATGCTGGACTCAGTAGGAAGTACCTCCCAACACAACCTGAGTGACAGCTTCTCACAGCACACTGATTGGCTGGCACCGGTACTTAAGCCAGAAAGCCATGTGAGGGAGCTTTCTGAGACACAACACCGCCTGCCTGCCTGTCCCTGCTTCAGCCCCTGCATGTAAACCCCAGATTCCGGCTTCTGACTTTGCCTCTCTCCTGATATCTGGCTCTCCGTCTGCCCTCTGGCCTTCTTAGACCTGACTCGGACTGACTCCTGTTCTGACTGCTAAATCGGACCACCCGCGTCCTGGCTGTGTGACAGTAGCCCAGCAATGTGGAGGAAAGAAACTGTGGTGTCTCATGAGCGAGGGAGTCTGGTGTGGAAACTGGGCCCACTTGGAGAAATGGAGGAATGAGTGACCCGGAATGACAACTCCACCGAGGCACAATGGCAGCTCAGGTGGAGGCCGAAAGCAAAGCCAATCCAAAATAAAATACCTTGTTCCTATTTTTGCTGATGGAAAATTCCACCAAAACTGAGATTTTCCTCTAGGGGAAGATTCCATCCATTCAAGCCCTGCAGAGGATCCATAGACAAAGCCTTCCACAGCTGGGCCTCAGGATTTGGCTCAATATCATGACTAGTAATTAGTGTTGCATTTTATTCATGTAAACTAACTATCCTCCACTTCCCCTATGATTTGATGGGAATAGATGCAGGGTCTCACTTGCTGCTCTACCAATACAGACACCCCAACCCCCTCCCACCTCCAAACAAAAAGGTGGTAGAACCTTAAAAAAAACTTGCTGGCATGGGATAAATTTAGGAAATCAAATCCAGTGTGAACTAAAGATCTGAAGGGAACACTAAACAGCCATCTCATCAGAGAACAGCTAAGCACATTTCAGGGGGCATGAAAGGAGCTTCTATATTTAGTGAGACTGGCAGTGTTTGGATTCACACGGTACTTTGTTTAGGCTAGAAGCAAAGTTTGGCTGTTTCTTCTGACACCAGTGAAATCTGTAGCCATGTGAGAGAGAAACATGCCTCCAGCCAGCAAAATCTGTGCCATTAAGGGACGTCACATGTTTTAAAAATAGTGCCTGAGCTACTCCATTCTATGCAGGCTGATCCTTACTATTTTATCAGAAATAAGGACCCTCTTACAGCATGTTCATTACCATACAAATCAGGGGAGCTGTGCTCCTTGTCCCCTGGCTCTTATGGCTGGATTCCTTTCTCACGGAGGCTGATGGAAATAAAGAAGCACTCCCATGAAGTCAGTGGAATCTGCTCAGTGCTTAGGCTTAGACTAACTACTCCATGATAAAGAGAACTTACAGAGTAGAAGTTGAGAGATAACTGACTTTCAAATGAACCGGCGCTCCCATTCTTCACATGGACTGTCGCCACTCTAGAAAATTGAGAAAATTTCGTATGACTGAAACATATGTTATTGATAATGGAGCCAGCCGTGAGCAGAAAATGGGGTATTCCAAACCTCCTGGTGGAGTTACCTTTGGTCGAAGGCTGCCTGGTTGACCAAGTAGTTTGCATGGTAAGTGCAGGTGAACGAGTAATTCACAGGCTGGCTCTTCACAATGACAGAGCTGTCGTTGGAGACGATGGAGTTGTAGAAGTGATAGATGGGGTTTTTGAACTGCAGGGTGACAAGGAGAGAAATGGCTGCAGTGAATGTGTGATATAACAAGAAAGCTCTGACTAATATTTGAAACAGGAAAACACAATTCTCATGACATAAATGATCAGCAAAATACTATATTCTGGTCCTTTATGCGTTTGTATTGTAGTCTGTTAATGCACTGAGGCTCCACTTGCTGAGAGCTGCACACACATCCTGGAAAGAAGTTAGTGCGCCTACAGAGATGAAATGAATGTGAACCTAATCCCATGTGCATTTTGGCTGTGTCAGGGATGCAGGACTATCCAATTTCCTGCATAAATGCCAACGAGCCTTGAACACATCTTCAGAGTTTACACCTTCTCAATTACAGCACATAGAGCCTGACCCAAAGCCCATGACTGTTCAGTGGAATCTTTCTACCAACTTCTGTGAGCGTTGAAATGGACCCATAATGTACTATGTAGCTGCCAGCTCCTGGGAGGTGAATTTTTACCCTGGACGTACTAACCTCTGATTGAGTTCCACAGTAGGATTTGTTTTTGGGTGATAAATCTGGGATCGTGAATTGATAGTATCCTGAATCATGAACCCCATTGTAGCAAACGCCTCCAAGAGCCAATTGATTAACCTCCCATCCATACGGGCATTCGGGAATTTTTGTAATGATGGTTTTAGGATAGCAATACACCAAAATGACATCTAAAAGGAAAAAAAAATATAGATATTCTAAGTTGCACTTTCATGCTGAGACTGATCTAAGTATGCACATTGTGGGTAGTGTTTGAATCTGGAGTTTATATTTGGACATTTCTTTACCTCAAACTGGATTAAGAATCTAATCCACTGATGTCAATGAAAGTTTATCTACTAAGTTTAAAGGAAGCAGGTTTGGGGCCTATAGGAATTTGAATCCTATTGGATTTATATCTACTGGGACTTGCCTGGATAAACCCTTTTAGGTCCCAAATCCTTAGAACGAACAATAATATCTAAACTCTCTGGGTGGAATTCTGTTCCCACTGAAATTGGTGTGAATTTTGCTTTTGACTTTAGAGGGACCAGAATTTCACCCTTTGTGTAAATTTTATTAAAGGATCAAAGAACAAAGAAAAATGAAGTGAAATCATACTCTGATAATATTGTATTAGATTATGTTAATGTTATGGGCTCAGATCTTTAACTGGTGTCAATTAGCATATCACCATTGACTTCGTTGAAAATAACAAGCAGTCCTGTGGCACCTTAGGGTGTGTCTAGACTACAGGTTTTTTCCAAAAAAAAAAGTGGCCTTTTTTCAAAAAAAACTTCCCCTGTGTCCAGACTGCCACTGCGTTCTTTTAAAATTAAATAGAAAGAACACGGTGATTTTTTTCAAGCAAGATAAACCTCATTTTACGAGGAAGAAAGCCTTTTTTTGAAAGCGCACTTTCAAAAAAAGGCATTCTTCAATGCAAACAGGGCTTTTTTGGAAGAAAGCTTCCAGACTGCCTGGGTGCTCTCTTTAGAAAAAGTGGCTCGCTTTTTTGAAAGAAGTGGTTGCAGTCTAGACACTCTCTTTCGAAAGAGGCGTGAAGTCTAGACGTACCCTATATTGTTTTTAGTCTCTAAGGGTGTGTCTAGACTACAGGGTTTTGTCGACAAAAGTGGACTTTTCTCGACAAAACTATACAGTAAGTCGACATAACGCAGCAGTTTTGTCAACGGCAGTAAACCTCATTCTACGAGGAATAATGCCTTTTGTCGAAAGAGTTCTGTCGATAAAAGGCATTATTGCATCCACACTGTGCTTTTTCAAAAGAGAGGGTCTAGATTCTCTGTCGAAAAAGTAGCTTGCGTTATCAACAGAACTGGCTGTAGTCTAGACGCTCTTTGTCGACAGAGGTTTTGTCGACAGTATATGTCGACAAAGCCTCTGTCGACAAAAACCTGTAGTCTAGACGTACCTTAAGGTGCCTCAGGACTGCTCATAGTTTTTAAAGTTACAGACTGACTCTGAGATTCATTGAAAATGAATAAGTGAGTCTGTTGTCTTTAGCAAACCTACATCTATTCATAGTAACTTTAGATCCAGGCTGTATTATTGCTAAAAGTTCTTACTTTAATACCCATCACCATAGATACAGTGCCAATGTAAACATAGTTGTCACATTTCAAGCCAAAATGCAGCGAGCAAAAGATAAACAAAGTACAGATATGACACATCAGAGCGAATGGGCCGTGTACTTGGTCTTGCAGACATAATGCATCTTATTTACATAGAATAAGGTTGCATGAATTTGATTATATGAAAGGTAAAACTAGCCTAACTATGAGTGGACTAAGGATTGAGATTAGACGGCCAGTTACAGAAATGAAATATCTTTGAAAACCCCCCAAACCAAAGAACACTGCTTCCTATGGGATATGTAGGGCTTGATCCTTAATTCATGGTATATCCGTAGGCTCTGCTTAGCACAGGAAAGGCAGGATTGAAAAAGTAGTAGTGGAGATACTCATAACTTCCACCTTTTTATCCATGAGCTTTCAATACTCCCGGTCTGATCCTCCCAGTGACTTTGCTCTGATCCTGCATGTGCACACACTCGACAAGTAACTTTGCACGTACTACCGAATTCAGTCAGCCTACTCACACGAGTAAAGCTAAAATTCCTCAATAGC